TGGTTGTTGAAGAGAATTTGGTATATTAAAACGTACATATTTGGAAATTATTGTATTTGAATCACTTCCAGTATATTTTATGCCGACAGGGTGGACATGTTAAGCTTTGGCAAAACAAGTAAGCAAACTCATATGAAGAAAATTTGTTAGTTGTAAAATCAGCAGCTGCTCACCTCAGCAGTTGAATTTCCTGCCACTATAGAGATACAAAAATCTGTTGTCCTAATGTTACTAATGGGGGTGGCCTGTTCTTAAAGGGGGCAGATTCCACAATACGACAGGGTGGACAACCATTTAAGGGACATGGACAAACTCTTCTTTTTTATTAAATAAAAATATTGTTTTTACTATAAACTGATCAATACACTCAATTTGAGTAATATCTTATTAAACAAAATATTAATAGGGAAAAATAAATAAAAAATAAATATGATTTGACTATTTTACTCTCATTCAAATTTGATGTGCAGTGCCTGGGACATAGCAAAATAGCATACATCCTCTTATACAAAATTATAGAAAATCTTGAAAATGTATCTAAAGAGCCAAATAATGCTACTGCTATGAATAAAACAACTTAGCCTTATATAACACACCCTTTCATAGTCATTTGTATGTTAAGTTATAATGGAAAATTAGTTATTTATGTTCAGGACACCAAAAGGCACCCTACAGTGATATTGACCCAGATAGCATCTGTAAAGATGTATTCAATAGTAGCATATGTGCCATTCACAGTACTATTATTTTAAGAGGCACAATCACTCACTTCCTTAATTATAAATGTTTAAATGGACATCTAATATGTAACATGAAAAGTACATTAGACCGGTTATTGCATAATAAACCCCAAAATGTGTTGTTACTGAGAATCAACAGACTGTTAGAAGGTGCGAAATGCCAGTCATATTTGAGCTTTCCACATAGCTGTGTAAGAAGTCATAACAACCAATAAATAAATAAAGTAAAGTTCTCACCTGAGAACATTCTCGACTATCAAAAGATAGTCCTTTCGAAAAATGTCCTCATGTTTTGTCCAGTTGATGACACGACACCAGAAAATCCACTAAAATTGCATAGATGACATGATAAATCATGTGGTTACAATAATTATTCAATACCGTAATAGGATTCAATATATAACTATGACACTACATGGCTTCTTCAAAGGCCATGCAAGCCTAGACACTGTAGCATGAACAAATATATATGTAAAGAGAAACTGGCTGTTTAATTCAAATTCATTTAATTATCCCTTTATCTTTCTTAACCCTCTGGGGTCCTTTGGCCCAAATGGACCCGAAGCATTTCAATATATATATTTTTTTAATCATTGCTTTATCGGAATGGTCCGAAATTTGGTGACTTTGTTGGTACTTGGCATATGAACACCCCAAAAAATTGGGGACAGGATTTGAATAGTCTAAGTGGTTGTAAAAAAAATAGTCACACTCAGGACCTTTGGGTCCAAATGGACCCGCATAGGAAATGAATGGGAAATTGGCAAAAATGTGAAAATACAGAGTTATTTTGTGCGCACAAACTACAAATCAGCAACGATCCAGAAAAAAAGCACACAACAGTGAAGGGGTGAATCTATAAAACATCAAGAGTGCAAAACAGACACATCCACACACACACACACACACACACAAACACACTTTTATACACATACACACTAATAAATTCAGATTACATATGGGTTTTGAATTTTTAAAATGCTCAGTTTGTCCACCAGATGGCATCCATCTCATTTCAAAAATTGCTTTCATGAGGTCTAGGCTTGACTCTAAAATGAAATACAGCTTAAAAAAAAAAAAAAAAAAATTTTTATTTCTATTATATTCAATGGGGAAAAAAAGGGTCATAATTATTGCATTAATATTAATTATAAATCATTTTTATTTTTGAAATTATCTGAAAACACCAAAAAAGAAAAGAAAAAATATTATAAAAAACAAGTAAAAAAAAAAAAAGATGATTTTTTAAAATAAATATTAATCCCACCCTTCCGGCCCATTTGGACCCGAAGGTCCTGAGTGTGACTCTGAAATGAAGGACCCACATATCAGTATACCTGGTTTTTAATTTAGTGTAACATTTTTAACACTGGGTAGATTTCCGCCTTATATGACGTCCTAATTCTTCATGAACAGACCTAGAAAGATTTAGTAGAAAAATATTGCTAAGAATATTATGATTTGCAGTTTTATGATGCTTCAAAAGAATTACCTCAATGCAATGTCCACGACAATGTCATTCAGCCACATCCCATCGTCTAGTGTTGCAAGGGACTCTTTCGTCAATAAGGGCACACGGAAGGACCTCAAAAGGAAGAAATACAAAAACACATTTTTGTACAAATGTTACAATAAGTCAAATTTCTGGCTTATAATCAGACAGACAATATTTTAATGAATATTTACTATTCATCTTTCTCCATAGTGGATCTGTACAAAGAAGAAAATTAATGTTAACATTAAGACATTTAAATTGGTTTCATCTTGTGATCATCTTCAAATGAGAGAGAACTTATTGAATGAGCTATGAGGAATGATGCCCCTGAGTCAACAAAATATATTGTATTATTATGATTATTTAAATACAGTTATAGATTACTGTTTGTCTTATATTGGATGAGTAATAAAGAATGATGTCCCTGGGTCAACACAAGATATTTCATTATTATTATCATCATTATACGATTGACGGGTGTCTTCAATTTATTATACTAAGATGCACAATAAACTTCATTGCTGAAGTATTCGTTGTCTCATTTCTTTGTTGCAAAAGTTCTCCATGAATCACAACACTGTTTACACATTGACTTCATTGCACAATAACAATCGCACCACAGCACGATGGCACCGTAAAACTACAAAGAAAATAAAGAAACAATAAACAAACATTCACTACACATTTAACATTGTTCAAATAAATCAACAAACCGCACCAAAGAAATACATGTAAAACAATCTAAACATACCTCGCTCTGCTTGCCAAAGGGATAAAGCTCGAAACATTTTCCTTATATCCATATTTCGTCATCTAGTGGTGACAAATTAAAGGGGAAGGCCATTACAAGGACAAAATTGTGATATTGATATATACTTTGTACATTATGTGGTCTATTCTACATCACAAAATGTACAAAGTAATATCAATATCACAACTGGATCTGTTTAGTGTTGTTAGTGATTAAATAAATATGAGGTTCTTTCCAAATTTTATGCCATATCAGACCATCAAAACAGCCATTCCAGAAAGTTATAATAGAGAAAAAATAGAGAAATATTAATTTCTATAATATAAAGAAATATTTTTGGTCTGTGATGGATAGCCTGAGAATGGTAACATCATACAATGCTTTCACTTTAAAACACGGATTTGCCTGTCAGCCAACAGTTCCCCAGGGTTATTCTGGTACAAAAATGGAGATAATAAGAGATGTTCCCTCTCTTCAAAACTGACTGCTCCTTCCCTTTCTATATGTTGGTGAGATTGAATTTTGATCAAATAAAAAATAAACGTGAAAAATATACTTTGCACTAACACATACACAAGACAAGCTAACATCCAATCAAATTTTAAGAAATACATTTGATAAAAATGCTGTAAGATATTTAAGAACAGCGTATTTAAGATTGCCTGGCCCCCAAAGCAAAAGAGATGCAATTTAAGATCTTAAATGATATATATCCTTCCAATAAATTTGTAAATTAAAATTGAATTGGTAAGATGCCCTGTCGTTTTTGAGATTCTTTCCCTGAAGATACAGAACATGTTTTTTTTTTTTTTCATTTCATTACTCACTTTCATTACCATTTGGTAAACATTACAGGACTGGATAAGAAAAAGACGTGGTCGCTGATGGTTTCACTTACACCTTACAAAATATAATCAACAGAATTGCAATCATTTTTGTGTTTTATTTAATTTGATTAATAACGTTATATTATTGCCAAAATAGGCCTATGTTATACATAAATGTAAATATGAAATTCATAAACGAATTAAAAACAACAATGGAATAAATTGCAAAAACTATTTCAATATTATTTTCATACGCTGAAATTTAGGGGTTCGGTTCAGGACAACCACCTCCTAATTGAAAGTAGGCTACCTAATAAATAAAGATTTTATATAGTAAGCATAGCCTACTATGTTAAAATTTATCGTAAGAATGCTTTTTAAATGTGTTTTTTGGTTGGGGGGCAGCAGTTTGCACCAATCCTGTAGAATGGCCAATGCGCATGTGCAGTCCTAAGCGGGCGTCTCAGGACAATGACGCATGCGCAACTAAACCCGCGCGCGGCAAGAGCCGGAATCTAACTAACGGTTATTGAACTTCTGTTGCTGAGCAACATAATATACACCTTCAAACATGTACTGTAAGTAAAGATTTATATCACAATTTGAATATATAAAATAGAAACCATTTAGTCATGTTGTTATCTATTAAAATATGTTTAATCTAAAGCTTAATTTGACGTATAACTTTACTAGTTGAGGAACCAGAAGACGAACCATTTGATCCGTTATTTCTTCCGTTGTCTAAATCGAAAATTAAACTGCGAAACCGGCAGTTCCTCCGCACCGTGGGCGAGGTGCTACAACTCCCTTGGCTTACAGGCAAGACGCCTGAAGTGAGTAAGCCTACACTTTTGCCATCCTGTGTTTGTATTTGTTTATTGAGATGAATTAGTCACTTGGATGAATGAAGTGACGTAACGTCCGATTACGTTGTTTTTACCCAGGACGTCGAAGCGATTCACCGAAAGTTGATGCCCTCCTTTGCCTGCAGATCCGTGCAGAACAACGACTTTCTGTCTTTACAGGAGATTCTCAAGCATGTAAGATGTAGAATGCATTAGACTATTGTGCTTATCTTTCATATGGCCGGTTATATAATTCTTAATCCATGCTTTATCTCATGCTATCTGTAGATGGATGTAAATGCTGGAACCTACGATGGATACACTGCCATGCACACCGCCTGTGAAATGGGGAACATTGATATGGCAATACAGTTACTGTCTCTTGGAGCAACATGCCAATTGACAACCCGCTTTGGTTACACACCTCTGCATCTTGCCATAAAAAACAAGTAAGTTGTTTTTCTGCAGTTTAAATGATTTAATTTAAGTATATGTAATTGTTTACACAATTGCCTTACATATGACAGACACTTTGACCTGATCAAGATTTTGAAACAGCAAGGAGCCACAGTAACTCAACATCCTACACGAATCGGCATGGATCTTATCAAGTCAGTCTTTTAAACAATCAATAAACTTGTCAGTCTGTTGTGGACATTTGCATTCAACTGTCCTCTCTAATTTAGGGCGGTTTGGACTAAAGACTATAGGCTTGTGCGTGCATGGTTCTTAGCTGGGACAAACATGAACCAGTGTGATTACAATGGGCAGACTGCTTTACATGCAGCAGTGGAGAAGAGGAACGAGCTCATGGTGTCCAAACTTCTTGAATATGGCGCTAATCCAGAGGTATAATAAAAGTAGATTTGTTAACATGTATATTGAACATTATGAATGCATATTCTGTTTTTTTACTTTTCTGATTGGTGGCACTCTAACAAGTCAAATATTGAACCCGTGTGGTCTCCTCATGCAGCTGTAGCACTCCCTTCCCTCCCGGGTCAAAATGACCCGACGAGGACCTAAAATTATACTTAAAGCTCCAGTCCGTAACTTTTTTAAGTTAAAAATAATCCAAAATAATTATATTAAAAAAAAACTTATTCTGCCAGTGGTCAAAACTATCTGCTTGCCATAGCTAGATTCAAAACGGTTAGCTTGTAATAATGATTTTAATTCCAGTGGTACTGGTGGGTTTCCACGGGAAATTCGAGCATGTCTTTGCGTCATGACGTCACACCCGTACACATAAAGAAGGAGTTTCGGCTAGCCGGCTGTACTGCGCGTGACGAGATGTTTAGATGTATAGGCTTTTCTCGCAGCACTTTACATGATTAAACTTATGGCATCCAGAAAGATCCAAACAACAATCATCAGTGTCAACTGGAGATTCAGCAGTTATAAAACCCAAAAGACTTCGTACTTCGGATTTAAGGTGGCTAGAGAAAGAAACCGTCTCATGCGAACACAAGGATTTAAACATCGGCGGGGCTTTTGAAAAGTGCTTGAACTCCGTGTTTTGAAGGGGTTCAAAACGGAAGAAGAGACGGCTTTTTTCTGCTGAACAAGTAAGACATTTCAATAGTTCAATCGTGTAACAGTACGTTTTCTTAATTCACACAGTTATGGAGTTTCCTTTGTTGTGCCTTTCTCGTTTTGCTATTATGGAGAATATGAATTCTGAAGTACACAGGTAACCATAAAACACATTAAATTTAACATTAGTCAAGCAATGCTGATGTTGTTAACATGAACAATTTGAGAACAAAGTAGGCTATAATTTGCACGGTTGCTGTAAATCACGTTGATTAAATCTAACGAAGCTTATCATGTCGAATGCTTTTTCCCCCTTAGTTGGTCAGAACAAAAATGGATTTTACTTACTTGTTCTGAAGACATTTTCTTATGAAAATTCTTATGTTGGTCAAACTTTCAAAAAGTGAATCTGTGATTCTGTATGACAGTATCCACACAGCGCGGTGACTGACAGCAGCACTCGCCTCAAAGCACTGTGTTCATCCGCGCTGTTTCATGCCGATTTACAACCCACGTAAAGATGATAATTCCGCGAATCACTGCAGTTACAGATTTCGAACAGAGAGATGGCGACAAAGAGGAAAAGTTCCGGACTGCAGCTTTAATACATTTTTGGTCCAAAAAGCTTAGATCATTTCATTTTGATAATATTTTTTTAATGCAATTTCTTGGAGATTTTCTCTTATTTTATTGTTTTATTTACCTCTAAATTACTAGATTTTATCAATGATTTAATTTAATGATATAATTTAAGCACATTTTTTTACATTCTTTCCACTTAAATACAAAATAGTCGATTTAGACATTATACAATTATTTGGGGGGGAAGTCTTAGCATTTGTATCGCATGGCGATATATGGAAACGTTATATCTTGGTATTTTCTCTTTTTTTTTTTTTTTTTACAAATCTGTGATTTTACATCCTGGCCATGTTATTTAGGCTATACTATATATTATGTGCAAAAAAGGGTCAAAATCACATTACATTCTAACATTGTAACATTACAATCATTATACATACATTAATGTAGAGAACCTTTTTGAATTACTGCTATCATAAAAACACACTTGTAGGTTTAAAAATCTACATATGGTATATTTATTGTCCAACAACAAATATTTTAGCAATATGCATATTTTAGTAAGAATATTGTGCTCCTATTTATGTTATTGTTCTCCGTTTGGTAAGCGGGCATTTGCTTAACGAAGGCTCGTCAACTTCTAAATGGCAAAATGGAACTATTTCAATTTCTAACATTTACAGATGGAGAATAAACCTGTGAAATTTATGCGCTGAGGAAAACAACATCTCAACACATTAAACAGCGCAAGTAATAAAATCCCCATTTTTCCCATGAATTCCTATTGAATGCGGGTCAAATTGAACCACGAGGGAAGGGATTGCTACTTTTTTTTTTACAACCACACATGTATTCCAAGTTCAAGTGCGACAATAGTCCTAAGGTCTTGGACCACTCCGATTTTTAAAAATGAAAAGAAAATGAATTTCAGGTCAGAATTGCCCGAAGAGAGCATAAGCCATAACTGTCAACCTGTAACATGTCAGATTTGTCTTTTCCCTACCAGATTGCTGATATTTGGGGAAGAACAGCAGCAGATGAAGCAAGAAAGAATAACCTGCATGACATTTTGGTGCTCTTCAACCTTCCTATTTGAAACTCACACTGTGTAGGAAGTCACACACCAGGCGACATCAAATGCAAAGGCACATTACTTTTAATGTTTTATACCGTGGCAAGTTCTTGGTAAAGTAGAGCACTACAAAATTGTAACTAAAATCAACTCCCCCCTTAATGTTTACACAATAAATCAACTCAATTAAAATATGTAATTTATTCTAAATGAAAGCATTAGTTCATTAAAACTGAAACTAATCCAGGGTCTGTTTGAGTCCTTTTTACAATTACAGTGTACAATTAACAAGTGTACACATTCATGTGTTGTCAGCAGGGGTTGAACGACTTCAGATGTTTTAAAGTCGATATTTATGTGAGTAAAGTCGAGGCGACGTCGACTAGTCGCTGATGACGTCATTAATGAATAAGCGAATGTGGTTGTGCACAGTTATGGCGTATGACACAAGCACTGCCCACAGAACTATTGCTCCTACATATTTGTATCAGTTCTTTTGTCTTTAGGTCATTGTATTTCTCACAGATTTCTGCTCGTTCTAAATCAGATACAGATAAAGTAGCACAGTAAAGATTACATTTATATGAATGCATTAGTGAGAGAGCGTGTGAATTAATTCTACCTGGCAGAGTCTCTCTAGTCTCCACTAATATTGAATCTGGGTTTTATTTACCAAGAAATATATCCTAGAACGTTTGTTTCATAGTTATTTTATTGATGAATCACAGTTGTTGCTGTTTGTTGTTGAGTTTAGTAGACATAGCTGGCGGTAAAGAGGGACTGTTTAGATGCTTGGTCAGCCTGGCCTGAGGGCTTGTATTCGCCTTTTGATGCAAGACTATTGATCTGAAAAGGAAACAAAGAAAATAATCAAGATATGCCGCTTCATTTAATATGGTAGGCCTATAAACTGACAACACAATGAAGCATATTGCCCACATGCAGTATTTTAAGTTTGACATTGGTTACCTTGGCACGTGTGATGAAGGCATCCTGTCCAGCCTTCTTGTTCGCCGCTTGTCCCTTCCATGCAGAAAGAGCCGAGGCCTGGAGAGCACGGCCATAAGAGAAGCTCAGCTTCCAGGGTCTGTTCAGGGGAAGCTGGTTCATGGCATTCAGATTCACAGAGGCCTCCTCCTCACTTTGACCACCAGAGAGGAAGCAGATGCCTGAGAACCAGAAGAGAGATGTTGTACGTTTGAAGAGCACTTAAATGGGGGCCTTCCTCTAGTGACCGGGCGAGGACTGACATACCTGGCACAGCAGCTGGGACAGTGCGTCTGAGAGCAGTGACTGTTGCCATGGCAACCTCCAGAGGGGTGTACTTCTTGGTGCAGGCGTGTCCAGCAGTGACCATGTTTGGTTTGAGCAGAGTTCCCTCCAGATACACGTGGTGGTCAGAGAGAGCCTTGTACACAGCCGCCAGGACCTTGGTTGCAATTTGTTGGGAGTTATTTTTAATGGATAATTTGGAATTGCTCTGCTTTAAAGGGGTCATATAATGGTACATGCACTTTTTCAAGTTGATTGTACTGAAATGTGTGTTGGCAGTGCCTGTACACAACCATCATATAAATGATAAAAATCTATCCAGTGTTTTTGTTTTAATCTCCTTATTTGTTTTCCCCTGCCTCAAATCGAGCCGTTCGTGACGTCACACGGTCGGACGCCCCTCCCACGATTGATGATTGACAGCAGCGTTTCGACCAAGCGGCAACATTCTAATCTGAAAAATTATCACTGCCTACCCGGAAGTGCGAAAAACTGCAATACATCGAAAATCCCCTAGAGGTAGGTCCCAAAAGTGAGCAAACATCCATAGACCCCGTGTTAAAATGTACGTTTTCACAGCATAAATTCATGTTTTTACAGGTTGGTCCCATGGACTTTTATTGTATTTTTCGATAGGTTCCGAGTGCCTGACAACTGTGAAGGGGGTGCATTTTTTTCTAACTCGTTAGTTTAGATCGTATTTAGATATAAAATGTATGACAAATAAGGGCGTGATTAACTTTGATTGACAGCTTGATTGACAGCTGATAACGGGCTGAGCCGAGTGGAATTCCTGAAATTTGACGTCTCGGCCATGATCTGACACAACACATCATACCGCCTCTGTATCCTTCCTGAACATTTGTATTGAAGATGGCGCCGCCCATACCCCCCCAATAAACGGCCAAAACCATACCCCCCAAAACCGTTCTTCAGAAAGTCTATGGGTGACGTCACAGACGCTTTGTCCATATTTTTTACAGTCTATGGTTTCGACACAGACCCGCCCTGAGCGAGCTGTCATCATAGTTCGTCATTGTTGATAAGCTGGAGCAGAATGGCGTCTAAGCGATTGTGGTGTTCTGTTCTTGGGTGTAGTAACGAACACAGCAGTCATTTTGATGTTCTTAAATCCGAACCACTGAAGACGCAGTGGCTGAGTTTTGTTTTCGAAGGGAATATTCCCCACGAGCAACGTCAATGCGTTCATGTTTGCGTGAATCATTTCTCACCAGACTGCTTTATAAACGAGGATCAGTATGAAGCTGGTTTAGCTAAGAAGCTTCTCCTGAAAAAAGAATCGGTACCAACTATTCATGTCCCTGCTGCACCTCCAGAAGAAGTGAGTGTAAAGTTTTATTAACCTTTATAGTAATCTTTGCAAATCGCTTGCACGCTTCACGATGAATGCGGCTAAGGGTTACACTCAGGGTAACATTACATTACGGCATGTTTCCCATGTACGACGTTCTCAATATAATTCATAATCCCATGTTTATAATGAACAACACGTTATGGTTATTGTGTTATTACAAACTGATTAAACACAAGGGGCCCTATTTTAACGATCTGAAACGCAAGTGTCAAAGCGCAAAGCGCAAGTAACTTTGTGGGCGGATCCCGGCGCTGTTGCTATTTTCCCGGCGGAATAAATACCTCTTGCGCTTGGCGCAAATCTAAAAGGGGTTGGTCTGAAGTAGCTTCATTATTCATAGGTGTGGTTTGGGCGTAACGTGAAATAAACCAATCAGAGCGTCATCTCACATTCCCTTTAAGAGCAGGCGCGCATGTTGCATGGCGGATTGCTATTATAACGGCGGATTTGCCAGGCGCGCACCAGGAGCGGTTCACAGCCGAGGAGACCGACGTTCTTGTCAGGACCGTGAAAGACAGAGAAGTGACGTTCTATTGCGTGTTTTGCGTGCACCTGTAAACTATGGCATAAACCCTCATGCAGTAACACCCTCAGACGGCACTGTTTATTGACTGTCTGAAGTAGAATGCATGCAGAAATAACAAGAAATTCAACGTTCAAATCAGACTTATCTATCTATTTATCTCTCTATCTATCTATCTATCTATCTATCTATCTATCTATCTATCTATCGTGGGTGGGTTTCTCCCATCCCCATACAAATCAGCGTCGGTTAAACAGGTGTGGGAGGAAAAAAACTACATTTTTTACATCTTCATGGACACCACAATGATTTCCCTCATGTGTTAATATTTTTCCTTGTTATAATGTATGATTTGCAAAAATAAAAACTACTGCATCTGTGTTGATGAGAGAATCAAAGTGTATGCGCGTTGTGCACACGCTACATTATGGCCAAGCATGCGCGCTTAAAATAGCATAATGAACAACGCGCAACGCGCCACTGACTTTAGACTAGTTTTTTTCTGGTCAGTGGCGCATTTGTTTTATAGAACAGCAAAATAGCATGAGGGAAAGTTTGCGCCGGAACACGCCTCCTCTTTGCGCTGAACCGCCCCGGGGAGCGCAAGTGTATTTCTTAGTTAACCGACGTGCGTCTGTAGAGGGAAAAGTCCGCTTTGCGCGGGTGCAAAATAGGAATGATACATGCGTCACTAGAGGTGGGACGATACAGTTACCTCACGATTCAATTCTGTGGCGATATGTGGTCCACGATATGATAATATCACGATTCGCGATATCTACGATATTCAATATATTGGAAGAAATTTCATCAACGATATATCACGATATATGTGACTGAAAAGAAAGATTAACAATGCATGTGTACATATTGAGAATTAATATACCGTAAAACTTCCCGGGTTTTTATTTTCCCAAATCGTCGAACTGCACCGGCTTGTATTTGAGACAGGCGTCTATATGAGACAGGCCTTTATAATTTAGTGTTGAGATGTTGTTCATTGAGTTTAGGCGAGTCTCTAATCTCTAAAAATCTCGAAATGCTCCACGTGAAACTGCGGTCTTCCGACCTTTTACTATCGTGTCAATTGATTTTGATTAATATGCGCGAGGGAGAGAGAGCAAGACAGCGCTCGTGTTGTTTGAAGACGTGAGAGTGCGCGCGCGCGGCCGTTGCGCTCTCTCTGCTCGTAAAACCCGAAGTGTCTCCACACTTTAGAGTGGAAACTAGCGGGTGGGTCTTTGATTTGTTTTATATTGTTTTCCGCCATTCTTCTCGCTTCTCTCTGTTGTTGTTAGTTAACTTGTGTTCTTCACCGGCCGCTGTTTGCGCCACTTTACCCCTATTTACTCGAACAGCGCCCCCCCCGCAAACAGAATGGTAGATATTGGGTAGTGACAGTGACACTGACAACGGGTAAATTAATCATTTTGTGTTGTAATAAAATATCGATATTGGGCGTTAGTGTATCGATTATTTATTGCGACAGAGAGCACAACAATATATTGCAATATAGATTTTTTTCCCCACCCCTATGCGTCAGTGTACAAAGTCATTTGCGCCGGGTGCAAGATAGGCCCCATAGTGTTCGTACATCTCACTAAGTTACTCTACCCTGCCAGTACACAAAGAAAGACCAAAGTGACATTACGTTAAACAACCATTCAGAAACGTCCTGTTCGAGCCTTAACACGTTTAATCCCAAATTTTTTCTTGCAACTTGAGTACATGCATTTTACTCCTTAGACCTCCCTAACACTCAAACATTATGCCTTTTTGGATTTTATGTTGGTTAAGTTAGTGAAATATTAGGTTTTATACTCGGTCACAATAGTGACCGGTGGGAAACAACATAGTCAGAATTCATTCAAATTCTTCAATTAGACCTATTGACACAATTCATTCCAAGACATCCAATATCTCGTTTTGTCATTTTGTGAAGAAGGCTTAGTGAGGTGAAAAGGTTGTCATGTACAAAGTTACACCCTGGAGGAACTTCTGCTTGTTCGGCTAGACCCGTATGGGCTAGACCATGACTACACTTGGGCCCTGTCCTAGGCCAGTTTCAGGAAGATGTGTGTTCACTCATTCAGTGCACTGAAGATGGGCCGTACGTTGTAGAAAGGGTTGTTTGTGGTCATGTGTGGGGCACACCAATTGGTTCTCATGAACATCTGCCCAATCCTCCAGATAATTCACCTCTGCGTCGCCATTCAATAGTCTACTTGGCAAATAGGCTGTTTCACCCTGGTACTCCCTATCTGAGCCATCACTATCACAGTCACTTTCAATTTGGGGTGGGGGTGGGGGGGAAGGGGGTCACGTACGTCTAGAAGGTCCAGCACATTGACCGTTTCTGGGACACTCATCACTACACTGAACAAAATTATAAACGCAATACTTTTGTTTTTGCCCCCATTTTTCATGAGCTGAACTCAAAGATCTAAGACCTTTTCTATGTACACAAAAGGCCTATTTCTCTCAAATATTCTTCACAAATCTGTCTAAATCTGTGTTAGTGAGCACTTCTCTTTTGCCAAGATCATCCATCCCCCTCACATCCATCCATTCAGTGTAGGATTGCCAAAACCTGCCAATACCAGCCAATACCTCTGTTTTCAATTGAAGCACTGTGTTATACTACCGGTCACAATTGTGACCGTAAACAAATTTACAAGTCTTACGAGCAAAATATATATGCAGGAGTATAATTCTCAAAATATATCAGTAGTAGACCCTTTAAAGAATATATGTACAAAATATGATAGTTCTATATGTAAATTAAGATGTTTTATATACTACTTTTTGTAGTAGTCTGAGGAAGACATCTTCTTCTAGATGTGCAAGCAGAAAGTGAACTGATCTGGTCATGTGACCTTTCACACTAGTCACATGACATTAATTGATTTTAATCAAGACAATCTATTTTGTCATTTAAAAGTTGAATTTCTTGCCCAAAGTCAATAAAAAATTTTTTAGAGCTTCCAGAAATAAGAAAAAAGCTGCGGTCACAATTGTGACCGGTGGGATTAAACGGGTTAATTGTCGAACTTCTTTGCGGCTGTCATCTTGATCCGGGTGCGACTCCAGTTCAAACTGATACGATTGCACAGATGTGTCCTCAGAGACTCCTGCTGCCTTTCTCTCTCCAAAATATACCCTCAACTGTTGTCAAGGCAACACTCCACATGGGTTGGTCAAAACGCCGCAGGACAGAGGGGCGGAGTGAGCAGAGCTCATTATCATTTAAAGGCATATGCACTGAAACGGAGTGCTGAAAACAGAGCTGTTTTTGACCAGGTAAAATGAGTGTTTTCTTACAATACTAATGAGAATTTTTAATTAAAGTATATTACAAACTTTTCACTTAGACCCTAAAGAATCAAATTAACTTGTATGAAAATGTCATTATATGACCCCTTTAAAGGGTTAGTTCACCCAAAAATTCTTTCATTAATTACTCAGCCTCATGTCGTTCCAAACCCGTAAGACCTTCGTTCATCTTTGGAAAACAAATGAAGATATTTTGGATGAAATCCGAGAGGTTTCTGAACCACCCAAACGACAAAAAAAAAAAATATATATATATATATTGTCTGAGTGAAAATGTAATTATCATTAAAATTATTACTGTAATTGCTCTACAGTAAGCTTTATAGCCATTTCTGTCAAGATCATATTTTTAAAACACAGCTGAGCTGTGACGTCAGAAGAGGGAGACGTTCCAAAAAAGTTCTATTCAAGTATGATGAGTTTTGAGTCTAAGGAGATCCAAAATCCCCCTCAAACCTACGATGACCCACAGCCATACAATTTTGAGCCTCCCAGGCGTGAGACAGACAAGGAGCCAAACAGAAATTTAAATAATTCCTATCGAAGAAAAACATAAATATCTGGTGTGAAGAGAACCAGTGGAGAGTTGGTCAGGTGTCTTGGTAAGTAGGCTATAGGCATAACTTAGAGGTGGAACGGTATATGTTCGTATTGAACCGAAGCGGTATGGGCGTCACGGTTCGGTGCATGAATATACCCGGAGAATACACGGTATAAAAATAAATAAAACTCGCGTGCAAATTAATTAATGCGGAACTACTGTTAGATACGCGGGTTATTTAGGGACACCTAATCTGTATCTCCGCCTTAGCTCTGAAGCTCCGTGGCTATAATGAACAGGCTTCAATGTCAAGATTGCAATGCTGGAATATGTGTGTGTGTGAGAGAGAGAGAGAGAGAGAGGCGCGGGCGCGATCTACACATAAAAACTGGAAGAAATGTGCGCTGCAAATGACCGAAGTCTTGGATACCCAAGCAGCACTGAAGTCAGCGTGTTTGGTCCGAACAAAGTTGACCCAGGCATGCAACACAGACCTGCTTTTTGGGAAAAAGTGAACTCTGTGACCGATTTTAACAGTGTTTTTGGACCCAGCACAAACGCAGTAATTCACCATCGTGAAAATACGCCTGCGTATACCTAACTAACTACCTAACTTACATAACTAACTAAATAAATACATGTCCTAATCACTAATTCTCTCGCTCTATCACTCGTACAATTATCAACACAGCTCACAAACTCACTTTCTCAGCAACCTGGGGAGACGTCTCCCTCTTATGACGTCAAGCGATTCGTTTGGGGGGGAGGAGCAGTTTTAAGTGAGTACTGAAAATAACAAACTTTTTCATCTTATATTCTGCCTTTAGGTATCGAAAAACATACAAAACAATACATCAACTTGTCAAACGTGTATTTCCCCTACCTATTTTGTGTTAATCATAATTACAAATTTAACCTGACATACACACTTTAAGGTTGAACCACTAGTCACATGGACTATTTTAACAATGTCTTTACTACCTTTCTGGGCATTGAAAGTTGCAATGACGTTGCTGCCTATGGGTGGTTCAGAAACCTCTCGGATTTCATCAAAAATATCTTCAGTTGTGTTCCGAAGATGAACGAAAGTCTTACAGGTTAGGAACGACATGAGGGTGAGTAATTAATGACAGAAATTTCTTCTTTTTTTTGGGTAAACTATCCTTGTTTATTCTGGAAGGAAGCTTACCTTCTCAGTGGCGTACTGACACCGTTGCAGATCATGATCTCCGTCTGGGAGGATCTCAGGCTCTACAATGGGAACCAAGCCATTCTAAAGGAATTGAGGAAGAATTAATCAGAAGAAAAGACAGTTTGGAAACAAAATAAATAGTACTGGCAACTATCAACTGTTCAGAGTCATGTAAAGGCTGTTTATGAAGAATAAACAGGATTCCATGAGCCAGCCAAATTCTGTTAAGACATACCTGTTGGCAAATGCTGGCATATCTGGCAAGAACGTTAGCGTTTTCAGCTATTGCGAGAGCAGAGGGGCAGCTGTCAGAGATCTTAAGTACACAACGCCACTTGGCAAAGTCAGCACCATCCTTCTTGTACTGGGCACAGCGTTCAGACAGACCATCCAACCCTGAGTGAAACAGATCAGGCAAAAATAGTTTCCTTTAAAATGGATACAAGTCAGGATAGATAACTGTCATGACTCATGTTAAGAAGTGTTTGAGTAAGAAAGTTACCCTGTGTGGTTGTCTCTCCATTTGTTCCACCCAGGCCTGCTGTGCCTTTGTCCACCTTTATGCACACAAACACAAAACTTTCATTCATAACATTTCAGCCAAGATTAATGAGAAGACCCTGTGTGTTGTGTTTGTATCCTTCGGTTGCTACATCATGAATAAATGCATCCAAACTATGTTTTGGCAAATATCTTCAGAAATGCACCGAAACCTCACCTTGATACCAACTACGATGCCCTTGTCCTTGACGACTTTTGGAAACAGAACTCCTTTGTCTGATTTCTGGTACAGTGTTTCATGGAAAAAGATGACACCACCAATATTTTCAGAGATAGAAGCGTCTACAGAGAAGAGGAGGTCGCGATAGCTACGACGGTTCTCTTCAGTGTTCTCCACGTTTATCTTCTGAAAACGGTTCCCCATGGTGCCTAGAATATGAAACAAACATCTAAGAACATCTGGAGAGCGATACATTTCATTATCACTATATCTTCAAGCTGATAGAGTAAACACAATAAGATAACACTGTTAATAACCATCTATAGTGACAGTTGAAGCACATTTATAACTTGTTGTTGATCAATTAAGGCATTTTGCATAAAGGTGGTACTCTAGCCAATGCAGTACGCCACACATTCCTACCGGTGGACTCATCTGCAGCCAAGATGCCTTTTCCAGGTGCCACAATGCGCTGGGCAATTGTGCTAAGCTCCTTCTTCTGCTCTGTAGAGAGAGCTGGAAACTGATGCGTCATGCTGACAAGAGGAGCAGATGTACAATTATTAGCTAAAATACTAAACCCGTAATTTACAGAACTTCTGTTATTCGGCTCACTGGGTTATTCACTCTTATCTGTAAATATTTGGCCTGACTGTTGAACTTTAGTCCAGAGAGGAACACACTGGCTCCTCCCACTGAACAAACAAGTCCAGGGTTCACACTAGACTTGAAGATTTAGCCGTTTTCTTTGCGATTATGTGCAAAAAGTTTCACACATTCGTGCAATATCATTAAGAACTGTACAACACTGTTTTTTTTACACGCTGTGTATATGACAGTTATGAATTGCCTCCCTTTTTCGCAGTACACGAAAATGCCACGCGTGGATAAATTGCAAAATGCACTGCCTGCGTTGATTCAGTAGATCATTTTGCACTGTCAAACCAAACAATGTGATTGCTAATGTGATTCATGACATAAATTAAAGAGCAGAACCTAAATATGTAGCGACAGTATTGCATAACACATCTGCACAGTTTGAGAACAACTGCATGACGTTTCAAAACGTACGTTTATGTACAAGTATACACTTCCAAACTAGGCTAAAACATATTATACTTAATTAAATTAATACTAATTTCCCAAGATGCGATGACAATACAACTAAAAGAGTTTAAAAGTCGAACGCCATCCTTACTTGATAGGTCTGCAGGTAAGTTGCACTAGTGTGTGAATGGATGAAGTGGCCTCTCCTCACTGACGACGATGGATCTGAATGAATCGGGACCGAGCGATCGGAAAGAGTGTGTATTTATGTGAGGCGAGCGCAGAGGCCGGGCAGGAGTGATGCGAACGGGCGTGCTTAGACTCCGGGGACGCCATTGGCTGGGGGATTGGACGGGTGTGTGAAAATATCTGCCTATGTGGACTTTGGAAGAAGGCTTTTAACTCCAAAATGTCCATAATAGGCCTTCGCAATTCGCAAAATATTTGGAAAACCATGGATGACCTGTGAAGCACAGGGTTGGGAAACGAGTTCTGAGATAAAGTTGATTTTCAGGTTCTTCAGTTTCCGCATTGTCCTTCTCAAGATTGTTCACTTTGCAACCTTTCTGTTAAAGTCACACTTTTTGTTGTATCCCGGTATACTAAATATCTGGTAACGGCCTATGTGATGTTACATAAAAGAGTGCATATGAAAGAAAACATGTTGAACTTCTGCAAAATGAGGCTATTTTAGATCCAGATCTGTTGTGTGGGTGTTTGGATGTGCAGAGGAGCCTGAAGTGGGAACTCTAAATAGAGCATTAATTTGATGCTTTTGAGCTATAAAACGCATGCTGTTAGTTTTCACATACTTCAAACTTTCACTAACATTTCTTGTAAGAGAAATGTCCTCAGTTGGCACCTTATGTAAATTATACACAACATAAAATACTCAAAATACCATAGGATACTCAAATAATTAGGCTACTTTGTGTGTGTGGCCTGCACAAAAACTGTCCCTACAAAGTTGACAATATCCTAACTTGTCCTTGTGGGGACATTTTTTTGGTCCCCATGAGGAAAAAAGCTTGGTAATCATACTAAATTATGTGTTTTGGAAAGATAGAAAATATTAAAAATGCATAATTTTTTTCTGTGATGGGTAGGTTTAGGGGATAAAATATATAGTTTGTACAGTATAAAGTCCGTTCCGTCTATGGAGAGTCCGTCCCCATAAAACATGAAAACCCAGCATATGTGTGTGTGTGTGTGCTGGATGAGTGTGGTTAACAAAGTTGTCTGATTGTTGTGACGTAGTCAAACACAGAGAATTACATCAAGAGCAGTCAATGAAATCATTTTGGCAAACAGACAATGGTCTGATGAAACGGTTCGAGGAGTGATGCCAGTGATAAACTTGCAGCATAATGAAGACAAAGAGGTACACAAATGACCAGGCAATTTAAACCATGGGGAAACAAATCTGGGGATTTCACAACATGAACTCTGAATTCAAAGCCAAGAGTCTGAAATGCATGCAAGGACAGAGTCCAAATAGTCTTAGTTCGTGCACAGAGTGTGACACAATTGCAGTGACAAATAATGGTATAAGGATCCTCACAGAAACCTTTCTGCTATTTTGCATTTCAAGAATATCTCATTTTCTTCTTATTCAATTATCATTACTGTTGAAGACGGTATTTGCCGCATGCTTGTGGAATTCACAAAAATATATACTTAGCTTGAACATCTTATAATATCATGCTAATAAATAAGACATGTCTCTTCTTGTTTAATCTTTTGTGTGCCCAAAAATGAATGCATCAAACAAATAAAGACCATAGAACCGTTAAAGGAATAGTTCACTTAAAATGAAAATTCTGTCATCATTTACTCACCCTCAAGTTGTTTCAATACTATGGAAGTACTATGGTAATGGTGTCCATCAACTGTTTGGTTACCAATATTCTTCAAAATATCTTCTTTTGTTTTCAGCAGAAGAAATAAACTCATACAGGTTGAAACCACTTCAGGGTGAGTAAATGATGACAGAATTTTCATTTTTAAGTGAACTATTCCTTTAAGTTGTGTTGTATAGTGATAATCCCAGTGATAGGGAGGCTTCCACCACGAGGAGGCGCTGCAGTTCTGCAGACTCCGTCAGCTCAGCGCCGGTAGAAGAAGAGAAGCTGCGCTGTTTCCGGGAGGTGTTTCGGCCGCTGGATGAAGCGCAACAGCTACATCCACTAAACCTTTTCTCAATCAATAACAATCAAAATTAGGTAAGAAATTAACAAAACCTACATAGTTAGAGCGTTATTATATAAGGCACAGTGCGTTTTTAGCGCGAGAGTGTACCAGTGCTTTCATAGATCAGTGTTGTACTCGGGATTACACTGACTCGCCGCAGTTTAACAATAAATATATTTGCTTACATTCGTGTAACTTAGCTGTATAATATATTAATGACTGCTACGGGTGTGTGTTAATGTGTCCCCTAACAATAAAGTACCATTGTATCTTCTGAAATATCACGGAGTACCATGTCAATACATAGGCTATATAGTAAATGATCTAGAACCACGATATTTTTTTTAAGGTGCTATGTTATCATATTTTACCATTAGTAGCAGTGTAAGTTAATTACCATGCTAAAATACTGAAGATTAGTACAGTTTGGTGTAAAGTTTAGCGCTACTTTTACTAATAACAATTAAAACATTATTACTTCTTAAATGTGCTGATACCTCTTTTGTCAGGCATAATTCAATTTATTAGCATAATAAATGAATACATATTTAATAAAATAATAAATATGTAAAATAATATTACTACTAATATTGTTATGATGATAATAATAATAAACTACCATTATTATTGTTATACAACATGTATTGTGTGTATATAATAGCAATAGTAATGACAACAATTGTAATATTATAAATCATTATTATTGTTTTATTAGCCTGTTGTTTAGAAGCATAATTTAAGTCTTAGAACATTTATTTTCCCAATTCCTTGATTCTCGTCATAGATTGTTTATTGTTTGTTATAATTTTTCCCCACACAATTCAATAATAATACAGATGCTCTGCACTTTATATTCCATAAGTTCTTGTGTGGTTTGTGACTGTGTATAGACTCTGATGGTGTCTTTTCCACAGTGAGGTGCGTGATGTCCAATCAGAAGCGCCCCAGTGATCCCAGTAGCTCTGCCCTCCTCGGCGCTCCTCCAGAGAAGAAGAAGGGAGGTGAGGATGGAGAGGGAATGAGCACTGGGTCAGGAGGAAGCACTGCTGTGGAAACCGTCATCAAACTGGGAGGAGGATCCAACCTGGTGAGAGGCTATTTTTGTGGGATATCATTTGAGCATTCTTTATATATATATATATATATGTATAAATGTCTTTTTTTAATATTTAGATAGGTTGGTTGCACTCCTGACTTAATTGTTTGTCTTGAATCTGTTGTGAATGCGTGACAGTGTTATGGAAAAATGAATTCAGAATTTGTTCACTTCTGACTCCTGATTCTTGGTCCCTACTGACACTGTTGTTCTTGCAGGAAGAACAAGATATAAAAGCCCTGCAGATCAAAAACAGGAAGTTGGGAGAATCCCTAGACCAAAGACAGGTAGATGCATAACTCATATATACAACCCTTTCATTATTTACAAAAACATTGAATAGAGTATTACATCATCATTACAATACATTCCATTTCCTACTGAAAAGTGGGACACACGTGTACATGCAAACATGGACTCTTCCTTCTGTGTTGATGTAGGTGATTGAGGATGAACTGAGAGAGATAGTCGAGAGGTTGGAGACTCGTCAGGCGACAGATGATGCAAGTTTGTTGATTCTAAACAGATACTGGAACCAGGTAACGTTTTTTGGGGTGTATTTACAGTCTATATAAGTTGAAATTATATTTCTTTCAAACGCTACTATTTTTTATTCCTGATTTTTGTTCCACCCTGCTTTTTCAGTTTGATGAAAATGTGCGATTAATTGTTCATCGCTATGACCAATCGGGGAGTGAGCCCGTGGAAAGCCAACCGCCGGAAGGGCGGAGCTTAAAACCTGGAACACCAGAACCAGATGGAGACTCGAACCAGGAGCGTGCAAAAGACAGAGGTACAAAATTTTCACCCAAAAATGAAAATTCTGTCATTTCCTCACCCTCAAGTTGTTCCAAACCTGTATGAGTTTCTTTCTTCTGTTGAACATAAAATAAGATATTTTGAAGAATGTATGTATGTATGTATGATGATTTGAGTCAAATATAATGTAAATGTAATATAAACCTGTAAATGGCGCTCTGTGTCCTGAGCCGTTGCTGGCCGCTGCGGAGAGATGTGTTGGAATTTTAAAGACATGGCGCTGCGCTTCTTGTCGGATGCGCAAGCCCTTTTAGGCATGCTAATCACTTTCTTACTAAATATATTTAATACTAAAACCAAATTTACCACGTGCTGAGAATTATTGCAACTCTTTAATAGGCCAAAATGTGATGTTGGACTTTCCCAAGGCCCTCTACTCTTCCCTGTTGAACCTGCAAGCTTGGCTTGAATTTGAATTTATATTTAATTTGGTGTTCTGAATGTCTTCCTAATCTTGAAAACTTAAACCTGTATCCTTAAAATAAAAAGGTATATTTTATTAATGTAATTTATCATGTGCAATTTAAATGAATTTGAGTGTTATTAAATGAAAACAAATAAATGTAGTAATTGATTTTTAAATAGACTTTATCTTCGCTCTTGGTTTTCATTTTTGGTTTTGCTAAAAAAAAAAAAAAATCATTTTGATGCATCACTACATTCTCGAGTTCTTTTTGCTTAGGGTATCAACACCTAAAGTTTAGTCTTGTGGCTTCAGACAAGACCGCAGTCCGTTTAAAAAATATATTTATGTCGGCATGAAACAGAAGTTCAAATAGTCCTTTCTTCCCTATTGTGACGTATGTATATCCGAGAGAAGCGGCTTTTCAAACCAGAACAAATGTAGGGCGGGGCTTGATTTTGTCCATGGGGAATTGATTGGATGGTTGTGGTTTGCTATTGGTGGATCTGATGTGAGTGACAGGTTGTCCCGCCCTCACGCCAGTAAACACATCATCAGAGAAGAGAAGAGATGATGCTGCAAGAGGGAGGGGAAGTTATTTTGATTAAAGATTACAACACATTCATTTAAAAAAAAAAAAATTCACAGATAAATAATTTATAATAAATAGTGCAATATTCCATAAAACCCCCCCCAAGAATTTCATGGTGACTAATAATTTCATGGTGATCATTACACTATAACAGCAACTTAGAGTTTCATGGTGTTTGAATTTAATATTGCAATTAATTCCCTCCCCATTTTCTCTGTTCTTTGAAGGCCAGATCTCGGTCTTTTCTAAGGGTCTAGTCTCGCCTTAGCCTGGTTAAAACCAGACCATTCTCAGTTGTAACTGAGTTATGGTCTGGTAAAGCGTCATAGACAAATCATTTCCAGAGGGGCGTCACCAACGGACGTCGCGGATAGACCTAAACCCAATCAGAGCGATGAAGGAGATGACGTATGCAGAGCGGCAGAAACATCTCCGAGTGTTGTTCTTTGCTCGGTTTTTAACGAAAATGAAACGTTCAAATCGCTTAAAACAGACGCGATAGCTGATTCGAACGAGTGATGTTCGACGGCGGCATCCATCTTGGTAATGCAGGCTACAAAATCTGCTTCAAAATCCCAGTGCTGTCGTCATCGTGTAAAGCCCGCCCCAACGTTTCTGATTGGTGCCGCGATTTCGACGGATTGGAAATGGGCTTGAATGAGCTCTTTGCCAGACTAACTTTCAGAGCAAATCTAAATTTGCCGGAAGTTGTCTGGGTTTTCCCAGGCTAGTCTCGCCTCTAACCCTGATGGAAACCTGTTCCTCTTGTCATGTTTCACACAGGTCAACAGGGGGAGGGAGTGAGCTCTTTTCTGGCCACGCTGGCCAGCAGCAGCAGCGAGGAGATAGACACAGAGCTGCAGGAGCGAGTGGAGTCCAGCTGCAAACAGGCCAGTCGCGTGGTGGAAATCTACGAGAACCTGAAGAACACGGTTGATCAACTGAAGAAGGATGTGGAGTCCGGAACAGGTGAGACCAACTCGGCGCAGCTCAACATCTCTTGTTGATCAATCCATCAAATTAACTTAAAAAACGAATGATGTTTTTATCTACTGTCTGTATTTAATGTGTGTATTCATGTGACTTCCTTCAGGTGGCAGTCTCTGGGACGCCGCTGTCCGCCTCAACACCCTCCTGACCAATGAGAATGAACGTCTCCGCCAACTGACCAACAGCCTCCAGCAGAAGCATAGCCACATGACCAGTGAGGTTGGTGGTTGATTTGTTGACATGTTCATCTGTTAACCTTGCCGTATTGCTCATAATGTACGTGTATGTGTGTTTAGTCTCGTTCTTTGGGCCGCGCGGCTAATCGTGCTGATAACAGGATCAGTGAGCTGCAGGGTCTTATTGAGGAGCTGCAGTGGGACATGGAGAAAATCAGACGGAGGGAGAATCGCCTCAACACACACCTCGCAGAGGTGCTGGAAAGGGTAAGCGTTTTTTGCCCTACAGTCAACATGAAATCAAAATGGACACTACTTACCATCTTAAAGGGATACTCCACCCAAAAATGAAAATTCTGTCATCATTTACTCGCCCTCAAGTTGTTGCAAACCTGTATGAGTTTCTTTCTTCTGCTGAACACAAAGGAAGATATTTTGAAGAACGATTGGAACCAAACAGTTGTTTGGCACCATTGACTTCCATAGTAGAAAAAAAAATACTATGGAAGTCAATGGTGCCAAAGTTCCAATCGTTCTTCAAAATATCTTCCTTTGTGTTCAGCAGAAGAAAGAAACTCATACAGGTTTGCAACAACTTGAGGGTGAGTAAATGATGACAGAATTTTCATTTTTGGGTGGAGTGTCCCTTTAAGGCCGATATACTTTAAGTACAATCAAAGAACGAACTGGTGTGGCATCATTTCGGACATAATAAGTTTGTTTGGAGTTCTTAATTATAATTGATAGTGACACGCTAATTGTATTACTGCTGCACAGGTATTTCAAACTTCTTTTTGCCCCTAAGCGTAGAACGAAAAAGAACCTCCCGGAATGAGTATATCGGGGCCTTTAAAGTCGGCGTTAAATGAAAATGTAATTTTTTTTAAAGAGATTTTTTTTTTACCTCTTTTTTTTTTTTTTTTTTTTTATATTGTAACCAATTTTTCTTGCCTCTGGTATTGAGCTATTTGTTCCGCCAACATGAGTATTCTTTCCGCAACTGATTTGGCTCACTGTCGCTCACACACAATCATTCTCTTTCTATGAAACCTGTAAAGCTCTATAGCGGTTGACCAGAGCGCTACAATTATTTCTCATTCAAACTATTATCAAATGGATTTCCCCACACATTTGGCATTTGTCCTCTGCGCGGCGTTTTATTCTTTCTGTGTTATCAGAAGTGCACACACGCGCAGCTTAGAGGGAACATTGATCATGACTGGATCTTCTGCTGAAAGGACAGACTTCTCTATTTTTGCATTTAGTTTGCTTAAGCCCTGCCCCTTTCTTACAGTCAGCTTCAGCTCATATTCAGATCTGTCTCCACCCAATCAACAATCAATGCAGAGAACCCGTGTCCCGCCCTACAAGCTTATCTTTTTCGATAATTCATTACACTAGGGGTGTAACGGTTCACAAAATTCACGGTTCGGTAAGATACGATACACTTGTGTCACGGTTCGGTTCGGTGCGTTTCCGATACGGCAAAAAGAAAGACTAACATCATAAGGAATGATACTTTTTAACTTTGAGCAATGATGGAGCTATACTTGACTTTTCTTAGGAGCATATAAAACAAAACAGCTCCTTGGACAAAATTGTAATATTGTAGTAGTTATAAACAAAGGTTTATTTTAGTTCAGATTAACATTTGAGGGCAGCAATTGTATTCATAATGTCAAAATAAAACCGACGTAATGTTACTTGAAAGCATTATAGCCTACTATTCCTGCCAAACTTCCATGGTTACAGTTAGTAGTGTTACTACAGTAAACCCATGGTGAATGCTGATCTGTGGACACCGGATAGTTCATTCATGGCACAATGTTTCTTCCTGGTTTCCACGTCAGCGCTGTTTGATCCGTTAATAACGGAGAAATGTGAATGTTTCTCACTATATCTCTCAGCGATGTTATTACTTCAGTGGCGAATTCAAATGTTTTCTTTACTGGATTTCGCTGTGTAATAACAGTGCTGATGATCAAGATCGGCTCGCGCTGCATTGGTCCAAACTGATAAACGGTCCGTCAACCACACAATAACGAGTAGCTCAGTTTCGTTCCGCTTACATTACATTTTCCATTTGATGTTGGGCAATGTTGTGGTCACACTCTTACATTATGAGCGCGCTTGCCACGCGTGACGCGCCTTCATTTGAAATAACGAAATTTTGGTCGGCAGGAAAAATGTTCCAACGAACCGTTCAGTTCAAAATTGCGTACCGAAAACCGAACCGAAAGCCTCGTACCGAACGGTTCAATACGAATACGTGTATCGTTACACCCCTAACACTCAGATGTGTCACAAAACAGAAGAAAAATTCTGTTGCTACTTTCATTTCAAACACGTTCATAGTCTTTTCGAGTATGATTGATTATCGAGTATTATTGATTTTTTTTTTTTAAAAGTTTTTCCTTTTCTGCTGATGTCAACTGGGCCAAAATTAACTTTAATAAATAGCCAAAGAACTTTTTAGTCTTCAATTTAGGCTACTGCTGTGTATAATACAGCCTTTCTTTAGTTACCAGCATTTTAATATCAGTTAACAGTAGTAATGTAATAAGGTTTACCGCTATAATAGCCAATGACAATGGATTTAAAAAAAGGCACTGGGATATGTCAAGATGTTATGTCAAATGTCAAAACATACTGACTCCTACAGACATTTGTGATAGTAAACCCATGATATAGTGTTGTTATTGTTTTACAATGTGGCGGACCTGATAGTGTGCTCTTCCTTCATAACCAGGTGAATAGCAAAGGTTATAAGGTGTGTGGCGAAGCCAGCAGTGTATGTGGAACCATCACGATCAACAAAAGAAAGGTAAATGACTAGTCATTTCCCGTGAACAGTTGGTGTTAATGTTTCTTATTGAATCTCACTGTAAACATGAAGGTGTTTGCATTTTTGCACACTGTAGAATCCTTCAAATGAGCATTGGGCTGGTTTAGTCCTCTAGCAGATGCATCATGTATATAATGTTTTTTTTTCTTCTTCTTTTTTTTAATTCTAGCCATTTTATACTATAATTGAAAAATTTGTGGTCGGTAAGATTTTTTTAATAAGTATTTTATACTCACCAAGGATGCATTAATTTGAACACAAATACAGTAATTTAAAATAACTTTTCTATTTAATTTGAATATATTCTAAAATGTCATTTATTCCTGTTATGCAAAGCTGTATTTTCAGCATCATTACTCCAGTCTTCAGTGATCCTTCAGAGATCAGTCTGTCTAATATGCTGATTTGATGCTCAATATTTTTTTATTATTATTATCAATGTTGAAAACAGTTGTGTTGCTTCATATTTTTGTGGAAACTGATACATCTTATTTAGGATTCTTTGATGAATAGAAAGTTCATAAGAACAGCATTTATTTGAAATACATATTTTTATAATTTTACAAAAAAAATCTATTAATTTAATGCATCCTTGCTAAAAAAAAAAAAAAAAAAAAAATTCACCCCAAACCTTTGAATGGTAGTGTATCTTTAATATTTGCTGACTTGCTCAACCATATATTGATGACACTGGCAGGTTTTTGCTATACAATATAATGTTATATAAATGTTGAATATTAAATCCTTTCTCATCTGTTGTTAGTTTGAGGAGATGGACAGTGAGTTGGAGGAGAACAGGGAGCTGGCGGAGAACCGGCTCAGTGAGCTCCAGAAACTCCAGCAGGACCTGCAGACAGTTTACCAGGAGAACAATAACATGAAGGTAAAGCCCTCGAGACCACATACACCATTAACTTGTTAGATTAATATGATGTTTATTGTGAGGCCTCCTGTTCAGGCAATACCTGATTAAATCTGATATTCAGAGGCAATCAACTGTTCAGCTCTTTGGAGTGGAAAATTAAAACCCCACAAGAAAGCTTCTTATTTAACACTTAAGACAGATACTCTGGAACAGAGAAAAACACTCCCTTAGTAATGGTGGGATTTACTGAAGCTTGCACATTATCTCTGAACAAAAAATAAATGTATAGAATATAATAACAAAACAATAGATAACCTTTGTGAATGTAAAAGGTCTGCACATTTTTAAAGATGTGGATGATAAAGTTATTGGCTCTCCTAAACATTTTGTGGTATCAGTAATGATAATAATGAAATATATCACAGGTTTCTGTGTTTTATGTTTTTCTAAACATTCTTAGGGCATTTTTACACCTGCCTCGTTTGAAGCATTTGCTTCAGGAGCTTTCTTAGTTCGGTTCATTAAGGCATCAAGCAATCATGCTCGTATTCACACCAAAACAATCGGCCCGAGATCACCTGAGCTAGGTCGTCTCGCCCTCTTGAAAATGAGCATTTCGTGGTAAGAAAGCAAGCCAACCCAATGGACCACCGAACCAAGCATTATCAAAATTCATAATGGGAAATGCGTTATGTAAAAATACTGCAGTGTTCGCTGTGAGGTTCACAGTGTGAGTGGAATATAAACAAGTGTACTCAGACCAGTGAGAGGACAGTTTTACTCACATGTGACTCGCATAAACACATTTTGGTAAGCTTTTGAAATGCTGCCTTGTGAAAAGCAATTCGAAACAAGGAGAAAAGGCAACATTGTAACAATACTGTCTGAATACACCCTTAGACTATAATATTAAGGTCACCGTCAAATAAACAGTATGCAAATATACAAAAAGAGGTGATTTTATAGACCAGTTTACTATACACTACTTTTTGACAACTCTATATTCAAATAGAAAACCTATTTTAAATTGTAATAATATTTCACAATTTTACTGTCTTGCTGAGCATAAGAGACTTCTTTCAAAAACATTAAAACATCTTAGCCTTAAAGGTTCTCTAAGCGATCCTGGGTGACGTCACTTCTTGTTGACGTTCGAACTATTGGCAAACAAAACGGAGGCTAGCTAGACCCTCCCTCCTCCTCATCCGCACACTAACCCCACAAACCACACCCCCAAACCCTTCTTGTCGGTCATTGGCTGGAACAGTTTGTTATGTTTCGGGGAGCGGGTCGCCGCAGTTTGTTTTTGTTGCTGTTTGTGGAGCCTGGGCTGTCTACAGAGATCGCGTTTCTTTACAGTGTGTTCAGGGGACAGGCAGCCAGCGGATAGTGAGGAGATGTTTGCTGTATGTGACAAAAAATGTTTTGGCCTAAAAAACGCGTGACATCGCTTAGAGCACCTTTAAACTTTTGAATGGTAGTGCACTACCGAATAATGTTGTTAGTCACTTAAGGGGCTTTCGCACCGGAGGATCCTTTTCACAGTTCCCTGAACTATTGGCGGAAGTACCCGGATTTAGGCGTGTTCGCACCGCAGGAACGATTTTAGTTCTAGGAACTCCATTTGGAGGAACTAATTTAGCTCCTACTACAGAGTCGGTCTAAACCAACACTTTAGGAACTACTAGTGACGTTAGTGTAAGCTGATTGGCCGAACGCACGCGGAACACCAGCACCCGTCATAAAAAAAAAAAAAGCTTTGTAAACACATGGATTATAGCCTATATACAAACTAACTTTACGAACATGGAAAACAGTGATAGATGGGCCTCTTAACCTTTACGCTGAGGAGAAAAGAAAATCCAACGTTCTTTCCCCCCACTTTGAGGGGACCAAGCGAAACATGATTATGTATTTCTGCTCAGCTAACAACACTGGACGTCAACCACACAGCATACGCTAATAACTTTATCACTGTCTCCTTTCTATGTATAACAGTTCTATATAATAACGTATTAGACTGGACTGTTAGACGGATCGTAAACTATTGAACATGGAGAATGCTAGCACTGTGTGCTCAGGCTCTGGCTGGCGTTCTCTGCGTCATCAAAATAAAAAAGTCACAACAACAAGCACGGCTTATGTCACTTCAGAGTTCCTACTGCCGGTGCGAATGCAACCAGGAAAACATTCCTATGGGAACCATTAGTTCTCGGGGAACCACCCTGATGGCTAGTTCCTAGAACTACCCGGTGTGAAAGCCCCTTTAGATTGATTAACAGGACGTGCATGGTTCTCTCTCTCTGTCAGTTGGAGTTGTTGTCCAGGGCTGAGGAGGTGGCCAGAGAGAGCGCTGAGTATCGCTGTCTGCAGTCTCAGTTCTCTGTGCTCTATAATGAATCACTGGTGCTGAAATCTCAGCTGGACGAGACCAAAGCACGGCTCAACACGACCAGGACCGCCCGCCTGCGCCAGCTGGACCACATGGAGGTACGTGGGGTGATGATGTGAATGAACTGGGAATTAAATGATGTTGAGGGTGGATGGCTGTACATCTCCTGATTCACAATCTGTGCATGTTATTGTCATTGAAGCATGAGTGGAATGATGATTTATGTGTGTTATTTCAGAACGACGAGGTGTCCTTGCAGCGTAAGGTCCGCACTGAAGTGATTCAGTTGGAAGACACGTTAGCACAGGTGCGCAAGGAGTACGAGATGCTCAGGATCGAGTTTGAGCAGACATTAGCTGCTAATGAACAAGCAGGTAACATTCCGTCGCTCTCTTTATAATGATGTGCTCATGTTTGTCTCTTTGTTAAGATCAGCCTTTGAAGTGAGTCTATAGTGCCTTCTCGTTCTTTCTCAGGTCCTATAAACCGTGAGATGAGACATTTGATCAGTACGCTGCAGAATCATAACCAGCAGATGAAGGGAGAGGTGGTCAAATATAAACTCAGACTGAGAGAGTCTCAGCAAGAGCACAACCAGGCGAGAACACAAACTTATTGCCTAAACAAGTATTAGAAGCAAATATTTACTCTAAAAGAAAATAAGTGGTTGCTGAAGTTTCTGTTGTGTCTTATAGCTCCGTGTTGCCAAAGGTAATGCTGCTGTCCAATCACAGTCGAGCACAGAGATGGATGTGAAGGAAGAGACCGCCTCCCCGCTTACACCTGCCCCGACGAGTGACATCACTGTGAAGACTGAACCAGATAGCGGCTCCGCCACACCCAGCACAACTGGTACACACTGTGTTTTTAACCTTTAACTGGGGGTGTTTGCTGAGGTATTAAACTATGTATTAAACTTCTGTGTGTATTTCGTCCTGCACCATTTGTGTTACGGATATGAGTAATACATCAAATTGTTTGGGTGAGGTGTGTTCAGCTGTGTTTACATTTTTGTTAACTTTTTATATAAGCCGCTTTCTAGCACTTATATATGATATATTTTCCCTTCAGGTGCAACGGTTAAGACTGAACCAGGTACGGACGCGGAGACTGCGGTGAAAGAGGAGGAAAAAGAGAAGGAAAAGGAGAAAGAAAAAGACAAGGAAAAAGAGAAGGAACAGAGAGAAAGAGAGAGGGTGACTCGTGGGAGTACTGGAGGCGTAGCGGTGAAAGAAGAAAGGGAGAAAGCCAGCACTAGCAGCAGCCAATCAGAAGACCTAGCAGTTGAACGCTGCACTGTGATTGGAGGACCTAAACGCAAGGAGGTGGAGCAGCTGAAAATAGTGCGGGTGGAGCTGAAGTAAGACATTCTGCTCAAAACGATGATTGCAATGATGAAAATGAGCATTTACATTTATTCATTTAGCAGACGCTTTTATCCAAAGCGACTTACAAATGAGAACAAAAGTAGCAGTTAAACTAACAATAGGACAACAATATGCAAGTGCTATGACCCTTCCCAGTTTAATCTAACGCAGTACGTGTACTTTTTATTTTATTTTTTATAAAGATATAGAATAGAAGATAAAGTGTTACTATTAATGGATCAAGTGTTGCCGAAAAAGTAGCGTCTTCAGCCGTTTCTTGAAAATGGCCACGGTCTCAGCCGCTCTGGTTGAGTTGGGCAGGTCATTACACTAGCAGGGAACAGTCCAGGTAAAGGTCCGAGAAAGAGATTTTGTGCCTCTTTGAGATGGCACCACAAGACGGCGTTCACTTGCAAAACGCAAGTTTCTGGATGGCACGTAATTCTGAAGTAATGAGTTTAGGTAGGAGGGAGCAGAGCCATTGGTTGTTCTGTAGGCAAAAGTCAGTGACTTGAATTTGATGAGCAGCAACTGGTAACCAGTGCAATTTTGTGAGGAGAGGAGTGACGTGTGCTCTCTTTGGCTCGTTAAAGACCACTCTAGCTGCAGCATTTTGGATCAGTTGCAGAGGTTTGACAGTGCAAGCTAGGGCTGTGTTGAAAAAATCGATTCACCAATTCTGAATCGATTTTGATATTAATTTCTAAAGATCGATCCGTAACTCAGAGGATCGATTTAATAATAGGCTTACATTTCCCCGTGAACTTTAACTTGCCGCGACTGGAGATCCCTGTATGCGCATTGAAAGGCTTTCACTCAGCGCGCACATTGTTACGACAACGGGCTTTGAGTGAGTGAGTCATTAAACCGTTCATTCAACGAACACGTTCAAAAAAGCTGATTCATTAAAAGAGTTGTAATGAAACAAGGTGTTAATTATTTTTAACTTTGAGTTCCACTTTTCAAGGCTCAGCTGAGCAGCAATGCGTCGCATGGGTAACGCTTAGCTGAAGCTTCACTCATTAGAAACCAATATGGCATTGATTCAATGCGTGACTCGCTGATTTTATTTCCCCGCGGCTTCCTCGCGCTGTGGAATGCTGACCAGCGCTGCTGCTGACGCGCATTTATGGTAAATACCCGTGACGTGAAAGTTAAAAGGATGATACGACAAATATTTCGCTTTCCTTTGACACGGCAACCTTTTTCACGAATACATATGACTTCAAAGACAGACGCAGGTAATCCGCACGCGCTCTGCCGATCTCTCTCATTCACTGTCTGTGCGAAGCCTCTGTAGGCTACACATCACCACGATAAACAGTCTTGTTTGTTATCATTATGAACTTGTTTAACATTCAATACACATCAATGAAGTTCAAAACAAGACGGGTATAGCCTTATAAAAAAAACGTGAATATCGCGGTTGCTGCGGTTACTTGCAATCCTCTGCGGTTGACTTGTCAGTAGCGCGGTACTACAAGATTGCGGTAATCGCGACAGCCCTAACTGCTGCTGGTATACCTCTGCGTCCTCTGTCGTCTACACCAGTGCAAGTTTGTAAAAGCAGTTATATCAACACTCTGGAAGGGGGATTGTTCTTTACAACCATCAATACTCCATTAATTTGCAGTTAAATGTCTATAATAATAGTATCAATATGTTGCATAACTACAGTCCTGTAATTCAGGTAACAGCTGAAAAAAAAGCTTTTTTCAAAAACACTTATCTAAATCTCGAAGATCGGATCAGATCGGATCGAATCAAATAATGATAATCGATTCAAGATCTTGAGAATCGGAATCGAATCGATTCTTGAAATTTGAATCGAAACCCAGCCCTAGTGCAAGCTGGAAGACCAGCCAGGAGAGCATTACAATAGTCCAGTCTGGATAGAACAAGTGCTTGGACAAGGAGTTGTGTAGCATGCTTTGATAGGAAGGGCATGATCCTCCTAATGTTGTATAAGGCAAATCTGCAGTTCTAGCAATGTGGTCTGTAAAGTTCAATTGATCATCAATCAAAACCCCAAGGTTCCTGGCTGACCTTGATGGAGTTATGGATGACAAACCTAGCTGAATGGAGAAGATGTGGTGTAGTGTGGGGTTGGCTGGGACCACAAGCAACTCTGTCTTCGCAAGGTTTAGCTGAAGGTGGTGGTCCTTCATCCAGCCAGAAATGTCTGTCAGGCAGGCTGAGATGCGAGCAGCCACTGTCGGATCATCAGGCTGGAATGAGAGGTAGAGTTGTGTGTCATCAGCGTAGCAGTGATAGGAAAAGCCATGTTTCTGAATCACAGATCCTAGCTACATGTTGGGTCTTGGACACCTCACCCCTCCACGACACCCTAAAGGACCTACCTGAGGTAAGACTTGACCCATTGTGGTGCGGTTCCCAAGATGCCCTTCGTCTTTAAAATTGACAGGAGGATCTGGTGGTTAACTGTGTCAAAGGCAGCAGACAGAGAACAGAGCCAGCAGGATGAGAACTGAGGATGTGGAAGCTGCTCTTGCCAGTCTCAGAGCTTCAATTACAGAGACCAGGGCAGTCTCAGTTAAGTGTCCGCTTTTGAAACCAGACTGGTAGATGTCCAGGAGGTTGTTCTGTTTAAGAAAGGAAGAGATCTGGTGGGAAACAACTCGTTCAAGTGTTTTCGTGACGAATGGAAGGAGGGATACCGGTCTGTAATTTTCCAGATGTGCTGGATTTAGAATGGGTTTCTTAAGCAGTGGGGTTACCCGAGCCTGCTTAAATGCTGTGTGAAAAATACCAGTGTGAAAAGTACCAGTGTGAAGAGAGGTGTTTATGATGTGCGTGAGTGTGGGTACAACTGAGGAAGAAAGGGCTTGAAGTAGATTAGTGGGAAGTCGGACAGGTAGTAGGGCGATTGGAAAGGAGTAGTTTGGAGACTTCTGCCTCTGAAAGCAGAGAGGAGGAGGGTAGAATGTGTGTGTTAGCTGGTAAGATGTGTGTGTCAGTTTGTGGTTTAGTAAATTGGCCGCTGATAGTGGTTGTTTTATTTATGATGAATGTGGCAAAATCGTCAGCTGTTAGGGTTGATGAAGGACGTTTGAGAAGGAGAGAGTTTTGAAAAGCATGCGAGAGTCAGAAGAATTGTTAATTTTGTTGTGATAGTAAGTCATTTTAGCAGTAGAAAAATTAGCAGAGAAGGAAGAGAGGAGGGATTGATAAAGACCATGGTCAGTAGGATCTTTCGCCACTTCCTCTCTGCACCCCTGAGTTTAGAACAATGTTTGCGGAGATTATCAGATAAGCAGGGGGCAGAGGGGGTGGCGTGGGCTAGCCTGGAGGAAAGGGGGCAGAAGTTGTCCAAGCAGGATGGTAAAGTGGAGAAAAGAGTATCAGTTGCACTGTTAGTAGTGGTGCAACGGATCATCATTGATCCGTGATCCGTTCGGATCAATATCTTCGGTTCGGCACACACGTGATCCGCGGATTGATTTATTAAAAAAAAAAAATTGTGCGCATGTGTTCAGTCCACACACAGTGTGGTCATGGTGAGCGGAGGAACGGAGGAGCTTGAACGCCCCGCCTCATTTAAATCCCCTGTATGGGAGCATTTTTGCTTCACTGTCAAATATAATGATGAAGGAAAGAGGTTAGTGGATAAAACCGTGACGGTGTGTAGTAGGGTGGCCATACGTCTGGATTTTGGCCGGACAGTCCGAATTTTAAGCCCCCTGTCCGGCACAGCCGGACACTCATTTGTCCTCCTTTTTGGAGTTGCGCTGAATTGGCCTATAAAAATCCCGCATATTGATAGCGGCTCCCTGATGCCCGCAAATTAGTTCAAATCTCCCGAAATCTAGAGCGCGCATGCGAGACAGAACATACTGTGCTCCAAACCGTGTAGCGCACGCACGGCAGAGAGGGAGAGAGCGAGAGACCTTGCGTGTGTGCGCACATGTAAGACAGAGAGCATCCTGATTGGCCTGTTTCGGTAAGTCAACCAGTCAACCCCCCTAATATTTCTAAAAAGAAGATATTATGCCTTGTGCACTTTAAAGGGTTAGTTCACCCAAAAATGAAAATGCTGTCAGTAATTACTCACCCTCATGTTGTTCCAACCCCGTAAGACTTTCGTTCATCTTAGAAACACAAATTAAGATGTTTTTTATTAAATCTGAGAGCTGGATCACTCCTCCATAGGCTTCTTATGGGATCGAAACTGACCGGCCCAAAAGTTATGAAAGACATCGTTAAAATAGTCCGAGGACTACAGTGGCTCAACCTTAAGTTTATCAAGCGACGAGAATACTTTTTGTGCGCAAAAAACAAACAAAAATAACGACTTTATTCAACTAATCATTTCCTTCTCTGTGGGGCGTGATATTTCATAACTTTTGGGCCGGCCAGTTTCGATCCCTTAAGAAGCCTATGGAGGAGTGATCCAGCTCTCCGATTTAATCAAAAATATCTTAATTTGTGTTCCGAAGATGAACGAAAGTCTTACGGGGTTGGAACAACATGAGGGTGAGTAATTACTGACAGACTTTTCATTTTTGGGTGAACTAACCCTTTAAGTTGATTTTATATATTTTAATTTAAAAGTGTTAATAAACAAAAAGACAAAACTTATGTTAATTTGTCTTGTCTTTTTTTTTTTGTTGCTGATCCGAAAAATGATCTGATGAACGAGACTTCATCAACTAGATTTCAGCTTGTGAGCACAGTAAACAAACACTGTTTCCTAGTAACTACAACTGCACTTTAAATCAAATGAGAAAAAGATACAAAACACTTAGTTACTATCACCTCCTGTTGCTTGACTGCTGCTTTCTGATTTGCAAATTCCCAAGTCTAAAGACTTTGGGAAGTGCTAATAATGATAATAGGGAAGCTGATGGTAATGATGCGATTACGAAACAGGAAAGCCCAAGAGTCCCAGAGGGAGATGAAGCTGTTGTTGGACATGTACCGCTCGGCACCGAAAGAACAGAGAGATAAAGTACAGCTGATGGCAGCGGAGAAGAAGGCGAAGTCAGAGGTACATAACCAAATGTACATGCATACACTATATAGAGCTCAAATTGTTGGAAGCAAAGTGGAATATCAGATTCATCAATGAAAAGATCTAGAGATTAATAGTTTATCAGAAGAGTTCAGAGTTAAAATGTTTATGTGCATGTTTGTGCAGGCCGAGGAGCTCCGTCAGCGGTTGCGAGAGTTGGAGGAGAGAGAGAGGAGAGAAGGAAAGAAAATGGCCGACGAAGAGGCTCTGAGAAAGATCCGCTCAGTGGAGGAGCAGATCGATATACTCAATAAGAAACTCTCTCTTGCTAAGCAGGTAGAGCTCAGATTTACACAAATATATGAGACTGACATTGAGTAATGAATGACAAACTTTCTTCTGGAAAAGTCTGAATCGGCCTCTATCTCTCTCTCTCTCAGGAGGAAGATGCTTTGCTGAGTGAAATGGATGTTACTGGCCAGGCATTCGAAGACATGCAGGAGCAGAACATTCGTCTGATGCAGCAGCTCAGAGAGAAAGATGATGCCAACTTCAAACTCATGAGCGAACGCATTAAATCCAACCAGATCCATAAACTCCTCAAGGAAGAGAAAGAGGAGCTTGCCGACCAGCTGCTCACACTTAAAACACAGGTGGGTGGGCTTTTGAGATGGATTGTTATCATGTTGAATGAATTCTTGAGTGAATCGTTTGGGTTATGGCAGGGGTTTTCAAAGTCGAAAACAGTGGCCCTCCCTTCTGACACAACGTACATAATGACGTCCCCCACACAGCCTAACCTAGTATTCAAGTTAGAAATACTAGTTTTATTAGTTTACCCAAACATGAAAGTTCCTTCATCATTCACACACCCTTGTGTCCTTCCAAACCTGTAAGACTTTTGTTCATCTGAGATATCTGTCCCTTCACTAACTGCGTTTACATGGACACTTATAATCGGATTGACGGCTCGATCGGACTAAAAAAACCTTCATGTAAACACCTTAATCGATCCGAATGAAATTTCGATCGGATTGAAAGGGGTGGGTTATCCCTTTTGTAATCCGATCGAGAGAACATGTAAACACTTGATCGGATTGAAAACCGAAACTGAAAGGACTGCACATGTGCAATGATGTTAAATAAACGTAATGACGTATAACGCTCGGAACGAGCTGTTTTTCCTGTTGAATAAAGTGTCATATTAATAAGTTTCCCATCATTCTAAAATTCTGATTTTACTCGCGCGTCTGTGAAGTAGGACAACGTCCCACCACTCCTGGTTTTGGATTCTCATCCACAGACGTCTGGTTTTGGCCGCGGGAAGGGGCATTTTTACTGTGATCTGCCCGGCAAAACGGTTAATATGCTCTAAATTATGACCAGAGACGAATTAATATTACGTCTGCTGTTTAAAGCAGCACTAAGTAGGAATTCCGTTTTTGTCAAACAGCGACCCCTAGAGTCGCTGTGGAGTACTTGTACTGTCGTGAATAGCACTCACGCAGAGATGGCTCGCACTCACGGCCGGATCCCCTCCCCTTGTACACCGGTACCTGTTCAGTAGGATGGACGCTGTAACGAGTGGAAATAAGGTATGGCCCCTTTAAGAGCTGCGCGCGCCCAAAACCACATGTATACAGCGCGGGGTTATTTCTGTTTGATGCTCATTTTATTAGAATTTTATCAGATCTGTTTTTTGCTGTAAAGCAATTCGTTACCTCGCGAGACCTGATACCACACGATACTTCCTAACACTGAGGCGGCCCGCCGGCCCAAAGTTGCAAGTGTGGTTTTGCGGCTCACAGGCACCAGGGGGGTGCGAGACGACCACCATTCAACACGAAATCAGTAATATAAACATTACAATGACTCCAAAGCTGTTCGGTTAAGGTAAAAAAGTTACTTTGTTCACCTTTAAAACAAATATAGAACCAATAGAGGAGAATATTTATGTGCGAACAGCGGGAAACTCTGTATTTTCGTGCAGTTTGCGCATGTCAAAAAATCAGATCGGATTTGAAACTTGTGACATAAGCCGCTTTCCGACCGGAGGGACTTTTGCAGTTCCTAGAACCTAACGTTCCTATAACCCTTTTTTCCGCGTGTTCCGACCGGACTAAGTTGGGGATTTTTTAGTTCCTCAGTCCGTAGGTCCTATAACTCTTTCAGTACCTAGTCTCGAGCGAGGACTTTTTTAGTTCCCTTTCCCTAGGTCTACGTTGATTGGTTCAACTTATAAGTCACGCCCACTGTCAACACATTTTCTTCACTGTCTGTTGCAATTCGCCTATGTATGCTATGCTAACTCATAATGTAAGACAAACATAACGCATTCAACCAGCTAATTGCTAATGCTTGCTAAACTTACCCGTCATTTTGTTTGCCTCCTGCGCTCTGCTCTTCTATCTTCTTCCATTATATAACTTAAGATCATATTACGCTGGAGCCTCCTTCTTCTGTGTTTCTCTGTACAGAACTCAAGCATAGTCTTTAAACGCCGCCGTTCGTACTCGTTATTAACCCCCTGGGGTCGGCTATCGCGCCGGCGCGATAGGCAGACTTTTTTTCTTATCAGTGCAAAAGAGACTCAAAATACTCTGTTGATTTTAATCTTACATGTAAGTGTTATACATCAGTCGATCCTGTTTAGTGTATATTATTTTTCTGTATACTCACAATAAAAACAAAGTGTTGTGCTTTTTGTCAAATGAAGAAAAATAAACATGATGCGAGTTTTGCCTTCTCTCTGTCAGTGCAGTCCATTCTGAAACGCGTCCGAAAAATTAACTCTAACTCTGCAAATACTTGTCACACAGGCACGAGAGATTTTTCTTTATGAAGCTTGAATTCTCTTCTTTTCAATGAAGTAATTTATATAAAAAACAAATATTCTCAGTTTATGTAATCTGTATGAAAAGAGAGTGCTGTCAGAATTTTTTTCCCCAGCTCATTACACTTCATTACGCGTTAATCTGACACGCCCACGGAGAACGCGCGCTATTCAAACGCAAATGTAGAGGAAAGCCATGACAACGCCCACATCAGCTGTTCCACCGCGGCGGTAAAATGTGGGGTGTATTTGCTACCTTTTACCGCTAAGAGGCGCTACAATCATAGACTCTGAAAAGTGTTCGTTTATTCTCTCTAATGCGTAATCTGCTGCTCATTCAGAGCGATTGAAAGCTGGTAGCAGATGAATTCAACAAGTGAAACGTAGTTAAAATAATTCATTACCACAATACTGAAATTAGGCTGAAATACTGAAATGAAATTGAATAAATAATGAAAACATAAAACATTGCAATAAAAACATTTAGGCTACATCAATGAAGCTTTACAAAAGCATAAGACTTTAACTCTAACAGCGTACAAACGGTGGCTCAGTGATCAACGCATCAACACGAGCTTCAGGGAGCTTCAATCGACCCGAGATCGAATCTCAATGTGGCATACATGTTGTTAACCGATGTTGGCCAACAGCGTTTATATTTTACCTTCTTGATGCTTAAATAGCTAACTGTTTATAACTGTTTACTTATTTAAAGTCAAGAGTTTTGTTTAATTATCATTACAACATAAATTTGCTACATTCCAGTAGAACCGCAGCCGCTGCACAAAGGACACAAACTGATGAAGGAAGATTGTCAGCCGATTGCATCAGAAAATGAAAATGAAGAAGCTCGTCTTTAGTCTGCTAAATTATTGTGTAATGTAAAAGAACACTAAAATTACTTAAGTTTGAAACCAAGTTCGAACATTTCAAGGTTTAAATAAAGTGTTTTTTTTTATTTAAAACAGGGTTGCATCGGGTTTAGAGTTTATTTCTTTTGCGATGCAAAATAAGAAACACTAGGCTAATATTATTCTTGCGACATTTTAAATTTGTATTGCCAAATAAATGACATTAAACAATTAAAACAGTAGGCCTACAAAACGAAAATTGTCCAAAGCAACATAATTAAATTAAAACATGCGTTTTTCTTTGCCTCTCTCGCGCTGAATCTCTTTTTAACAAGTTTATTTAGTCTCCCTCGCTCTCCATATGAAAGAGGAACATTAACACCTAGGCCTATTGTCCTGCGCGCACAGCACTGAACTGTCCCCCAACCCCCCACAGGCTATCGGAGTCTGAGGCTGATTTAACACAAAGAGAAGTCGTAATTCACACTTAAATCGCTATTCTAGACAGTGTTGATAATGAAGGAATTAAATGATTTAAGTTACATGTAGCCTAGTGAAATTTCTGTCATAAAAGTTTATTACTAAATATTTCATTATTTCAATAATTGATGAAATAAAACTGGTTTGGGCCAGCTTTTTCCAAGCAAAACTAAATATAATCTGAAAAAACGCATGTTCATTTGTTGTCATGAACAAAATGTTCAACTTAATATTAAATTCTACAGGGATCTTTGGATCCTTTCAACCAGGCATGCAATTTGTGAATTAAGTTTTTATTATTTTTTTTATTATTCAAATAAATATCGAACCACGGTGCTTCGTGGTAATGCTGCTAAATTAAATAACATGTAGGCCTATAGAATAATTATGAACTTAAATGAAACAATATCGCAACATTTCGACAAATACATTATTTGATCTGTTTTTACATTTTAATTCAGGGCGATTTAGCCTGCTACATTTCATTAGAGCGAGATTTTCACCCTTGTCATTTTCTCATTGGGAAGCGCTTACATAGGCTACATGTTTGAGTAGATCCTCTGTACCTCTCGTTTTCATATGGATTACATAATCAGATAACATTTATTAGCCTGAATATTTAGACATTTAAAGGCATTAGACAGAGCCGATTTCTTATAGTGACTGAGCTGAAGTGGCTTTCGGTTCATTTTTGTGACGCGCAGTTCCCGGAGACAGAGACGACAGATAAACTTTTGTCGTTAGCAAAAGTTCGAATAAAACCCGATTTTAGAAAAATGCATAGGGCCACTCGGCGTGGTCTGCCAAAACACTTAATTATAAACTTCAATATTTCATTCAAAATAATCTCAAAACGCTTTGTGAAATTTTGAAAAGCCGTGCATGCATTAAGGCCACTTGAACTATGGACAACTGAAACGCTGGTTTTGATTTTATTGTTTATCGTTGTTTAAACGTGCTTGTTCTGTTGCATATCTCTATTTTATATTTGATATGGTCTATTGGTGAAGTAGCCTATAGCATTGATTACTGTGGAGGGAGGGGTGTGGGGATTCAAATAATTCAGCAGAAGCAGGGATGTTTAGACCAGAAGGAAATCCCCGTCCCCCTGGCAAATCACACTTTACTTAAAACCATGTTTTTAAAAACTCTAGGTTGTAGGGAATCAAAAAAAATAATAATAATAGGCCTAATAAAATATATATATATATATATTGGCTATATATATAAAATTACTTTTTTTACAGAACTGCTTTTGAAATTACGATTGGCCTCATACGATTGGTACAGATGCAAAGTCGTTCTGTTGGATACTATTGTTCCTTAGTGTAAAATGGAAATGCATGGTAATTTTATTTTATAAATATAAGCAAAAAACTGTATGGTGTACCAGAGTTTTAGAGCTACACAAATCTCTCTGCATTAATAAATATAAAATTTACAATAGACCATGTTTGTTCGGGATTTGAACCCGTGTCATCTTGATGATCGAACCGTAAGTTCTACCACTCGGCTATGAATTTTCTCACTGAGAAATGCCCAAACGTTTGTTTGTCATGAGCGAGAAAACGTTTTGTCGTTAGCCTGTGAGTGTAGGCCTACTTTAGCCTACATGAATAAAAGTAGACCTTTTACAGTTTTAAAAGATGATATCTTATCTGTATGACCAACAATTACGCAGTAAGTTCTTTTAGCTGTTATGAGAAAAATAAATTCAAATGAACGCGCCGCCGCGTTTGTCAAACTCTAATTCAACATGCCAGAATAAAGCCAGATTTTAGAATAATGCATAGCCACTCGGCGTGGTGTGCCAAAATACCCTAATTATAAACTTCAATATTTCATTCAAAACCATCTCAAAACGCTTTGTGACATTTTAAAAAGCCGTGAATGTATTAAGGCCACTGGAACCCGGATCGTAACTGCAACGCGCTGCATGTCTCAATACAGGAGCAGAAGCGCTGGTTCAGATTGTATTGTTTGTTGTTTAAACGTGCATGTTGCATATTTAAAAATATTTGTTTAAAAATAAATGTTTGTTGTAGGCTTATTTGCAAATTACCATAACTTGTAGAATTTCATCCTTACTGTTAATTGACATTAGCCCCACTTACGTTTTGATAAATGTCCCTTTGCGCCACCTGGCGGTCATTTCGCGAACGACTTTGAAATGCGACTGGTTTATTTTTATTGTATTGGTCTACTTTAAAAAATAATACTTTATAAGACATTTATGGAAAAAGACTATTTTCTTTTCAAGATTCTGTAGAATGGCCCATATAGCATTTGACTAGAATTTGTTTCCAGGTATGACTAAAAATGTGCTTTTGGCTTTCATTTATATTTTGATTGTTTGTATATATATATATATATATATATATATATATATATATATATATATATGTGTGTGTGTGTATATATATATATATATATATATATTTAGGCTATATATATACAAGAAAGAATGCAATGACAATATATATATATATATATATATTGTCCTTGCATTATTTCTTGTGTGACACCCCTGAATGAAAGGCTCATTATTATGTAGGGTCACTGTCTGAGAACCACTTAATATTCATGATAGGGGTTGGGCCGTTCCGCCCATCTGCATATTGCCTTGGCAAACAAAAAAATGTTTTTCACAATTTAAAACAATCTATTGGTTTATGTGAATGATTAGGAAGGATGATTTTCAGATCATTTTGAAGCCAGAACTCGAAGCGTCAACATCCATTTGTCAAAAGTCTTGTGGACACATATTTAGTATTTGTTTTGTGGTCTTATTTCAGCAGCTTTCATTTTAATTTTTTTCAATAACCACGCATAAACAATATTCTCTTAAAAATACAAACAATGTACATACAAGTTGCTCACAGATTATGGTAGCCCTGTTTGTGCTATATAGAGTGAATTTACACCTTTGCCATTAACATGTTTATAAATAACTGAAAAAAGCACAAATGTAAGGGCATCACAGAACATCCAAATGGCCCCAAAAACACCTCAGACCCCAGAGGGTTAAGGTCCCGGCAAGGCAGAACAGGAACATTCCGATAGCCTCCTCCACGCTGGTTTGTTGTTGTTGTATGTGGCGCCGCCGCCGCCGTGCTTGCGTCACTCCCTTACCCCTCCTACCAGTTCCTATGGCCACTTGGCCAGTGCGAACGCAAACAGCAAAACCGAGTTTGGGGGAGAGTAGTTCTTAGAACTGTTTAGAAGTGGACAGTTCCTATAACTAAGTTCCTGTAACTACTTGGTCGGAAAGCGGCTATAAACGCGCACATCGACCCGATTACTTTATTTATCATTCACGTAAACACCTTGTTCGAATTCATCAATCGTATTGATTTAATTCCGATTGTGTCCATGTAAACGTAGCTATTGACAGTCATTCATATGGATTAGTTTTACAATCTCTGTATGAACTTTTTAAAGCCTCAAAGTGGTAGTTGCGTAGCTGTCAATGGAGGGAAAGAAATCTCTCAAATTTCATTAAAAATATCTTCATTTGTGTTCCAAAGATGAACATAGTCTTACTGGTTTGGAACGACATGAGGTTGAGTAATTAAGGACCGAATTTTCATTTTTGGGTCAACTATCCCTTTAAGACTAATGCACAGATCAAATTTACACATCGCATTTTTCTTTCTTAATGGTTTACGTTCACTTAAGACATAAGCAACTGTGTTTACTTGAATTCTCGCCAAGACAAATTTTGATACATAATACATAAGCCAAGGAACTCAATTTGCGATCACGCGCTGTCTTAGAGGGGGCTTTCTGTGCACATGCTTTGACTGTGCAGAAAGCCGCCTGTCATCTAGAGAGCATCGAATTCAGTTCTCTTGCTCGGTTTATAGTGGTTTTTAATAACTTGGGATGAACAGGGTTTCACCTGTTCATCCATTTTTCATTCTTAACTCGTCAGTAACTGTAAGCAGTTCTGCGCTGCATGGATACATTTACATACTGCAACATAAACAATATAACAAAAACTTGTTGCCACATTCTCCAGGATATAGCCCTATTCATCCATGCCTCCCTTGATGTGCCCTCGCGTGCCCCACACTTTGAAAATCCCTGGGTTGGTGTTTTATTTTTATGATCTTCAGATCATTCAATTTTTTGTTTTGGGAAGATGCATAGGTGTGTATAATGCATCTATGAAGTATAATAAGGGTGACCAGATTTCTCATGGTGGAATACGGGACAGAATGGACACGCTCCCCTTCCCATACCCCCTGGTGTGTGTCATTCAGCAAGAAACCACATGGAGTTATTTTTTCACAACTAACTTTGCATAACAAACTCTTTTTTTTAAGATCCTTGTTAAATGTACACATACGCTTCTTTGACATCGCATCTGACTTGATCTTGTCTTCCACCTTCACTTACTGCAAGTTAATCAATAACGGATTGTGAATGTAAGTTAATTTTGTTCACCAAAATATAATATGACGAGATATGCTACATCTTTGATTAGGCTATTCTCGTGTGACAGAAGACTACTTACTACTCACTTTTATGATCACCTAGCAAAGAAAATTTAGGAAAGAAGAAATACGGGACAAAACATGTTTTTTCGTTATAAGTCGGGACATTAAAAATAGAGCTGAAATACAGGACTGTCCCAAGGAAAACGGGACGTCTGATCATCCTAAGTTTAATGGACATTCACACTAAGACCCTGTAACAAATGAGAAACATTCAATGTCATGTTCTAGGGGTTGTGTTCTAAATAAATAATAAATATATATTTTTAAAATGTATATATAATTTACCAGTGACAGAAATAACTTTTCCGTTAAGGTCTTACATTTGCCCCCTTACATTTATTTTTATTTTATTAGGGCAAATGTTTAACCTCATTAAATATATCCATCATCTTTTATGTCAGATATTTATAACCATCATAGAGTGGAAGTTTATCATTTACGACTGTGTTCACAAGGATACTCAGCAATACGGGCATTTTTGACAATTTTGCATGTGTGTGTCCATTCAAGCACAAAAAGTTGAGAAAGAGAACTGAATTCGATGTTCTGAATTAAGTTCTCTTTTGCGTCTTGCGCTTGAATGCTTTAAACTCGATTGAGTGTTTAAACTGTCACGACTTAAATGATATGCAACTGAAACATATGTCTGTGTTTCTCTTAGGTGGACGCTCAGCTGCAGGTGGTTCGGAAGCTAGAGGAGAAAGAGCGCCTCCTGCAGGGCACCATCAGCGCTGCGGAGAGGGAGCTGGGTCTACGCACACAGGCTTTAGAGATGAACAAACGCAAGGTACATATAAAACATAGTTGCAGATTACCTCACACAAATGCAGTTTGTCTACTTGCAACATCATAAATACTATGTGAAGAAAAGTAGGTTTTCTCTGTGGAGGCAAGGGAAGGCAGTGAGAATGAATGGGGAAAGACACTAGAGAGCTGGTCTATTGTGCTGTTCACATGATAAATCCTGCCTCTCCTTTTTATGCGCGTTCCGCATTCGCAAATCGGTTTGAATGAATAAATAATGATGTTTAACGGGAAGACTAATTAAAAAGTAAGTAAACAACTCACCCTCTTAAATATCACCTTTGTTACAACACATTCAAACATGATCTGAGAGTTTTTTTAAGCAAGCAGTCAGTTTGGTGAAATTAAAGGTAGATTTCCGTGTCTGTGACCATCATGACATATACAGTGTTCACTGAGCTTTGATGGAATGATTATCTGAAAATAAGTTGACTGTTAAAAAGGATAGCTGAACATCAGTTAAATATACATGAAATTTGTTACTGCATTCGTATAGTTATTATTTTGTAGCAAATGCAAGAAATACTTAAAGCACTAGCTTGTTGTGAAATATAATCGTAATAAATAGAACATTAATTACATTTTAATTATTGTAAAACTAGAATTGTACTGGTTGTTAATTTATTTAACCTGAAAAACCTGTCAACAATAAGTCTAACTTAAAGGGATAGTTCACACAAAAATGAAAATTCTGTCATCATTTACTCACCCTCAAATTGTTCCAAACCTGTATGAATTAATTTCTTTCTGCTGAACACAAAAGAAGATTAATTGAAGAATATGGGTAACCAAACAGTTGATGGACCCTTTTGCCTTCCATAGTATTTTTCGTTCCATACTATGGAAGTCAATGGTCATTCTTCATAATAACTTGTTTTGTGTTCAGCAGAAGAAACTCTTACAGGTTAGGAACAACTTGAGGGAGAGTAAATGACAGAATTTAAATTTTTGGGTGAACTATCCCTTTAACATGAATTTACATTAGAAAACGTCCATGAATTGTGTGTGTTTCAGGCGCAGGAGTCAGTGCTGCTGTCGGAGGAGGTGCGCACTCAGCTGGAGGGGGTGCAGCAGAGGTTGAGCGCGGTCAGAGAGGAGGTGGTTGAGAACAGCATTTCTCGAGAGAAAGAGTCTTTCAATGCCCGTCGTGCACAGGTGAGCAGACCGCGATGAACCGCTCTTTAGCTCAATGCCAGCTGTGCGTAATCAGAGGTTTAATGCTGTTGATCTACATACTGTTGTTCATCTGTGGTTTGAACTGAGCATTTTTTCTTTTATCTCATTAGGAGGACATTTCCAAACTGCGCAGGAAGATTGAGAAGGCCAAGAAACCGGCCGAGAACATTCGAAACGGAGATGAGATCCTGAATGAAGAAATAAACGATTACAAGGTCATTTTATGTTGTCCATTTGGATGGGGGACTAGAACTAGTTGTGTGTTCATAGCCTTTAAAGGGCACATTGCAGGTTAGAGGACCCAACGAGTCAATGTATAGAAAAATAATGTAGGAACTAGATTTTCTTTAAAATATACTTATAAATACGCTACAGACGCTTCTGGAGTCGTTTTTGTGAGGAAATTTTACTTCCGCGTCTGAAAATGGGCGTTGCGGGCGTGACGTAACGGGCGGGAGAGCGGTCGATTCAAACAACAGGAAAACAATGGATCGCAATGACATTTCGGACGCTGAGGAAATACTTACTCGTATGACGGACCACAGCCATACAATTATGAGCCTGCTATGCTGCCGACAGAGCAGGACAGGCCAGGACTAATGTCAGACAGAACGGTCAGAGACTAATTGAGTTGTGGTGTGAGAACCAGTGGAGAACAGGACAGGTGTCTTGGTGAGAGACGTGCTTATAGATACACGTTAGCTAACGATATATACACTGTGCTCACAATATTGTACAGATTATTACCATCGTATATCAGGCCAGCAGACTTTAGTATTTTTAGGGTAGATTTATACTATTAAATGTATAAAAACTATACTTGAGTATATTTCTATTGTACTAAAAACATACCCAAGTAAATTTTTAATACATATTTTTCACCTGGGTTATAACATAAACAGAAAATTAAAGATTTGAATATTTAAACAACCTGAGTAATTTTGTTTTTCAATTACAAGTTGCCTCTATTTAGGGCAGGGGTCTCAAACTCAACTTAACTGGGGGCCGCTGGAGGTAGAGTCTGGGTCAGGCTGGGCCGCATCAAGTATTCCACAAAAAATAGTATTCAAGTATTCCAAAAAAGGAGCACAACTGATCCAATCTTCAAGAGCTGTCCTTCTGACAGTTGAAGTTCATTTTCCTTATACACAAAATCTTTGTGATACTTCATTTTACAAACATTCTTTTTCTTTTCCTTATAAAACAAATTTGTGATACTTATATTTGCTTATGTCCTTTTTATTTTCTTTATACAACACATTAATGATATTGAATGTTTTTTTTGGAAGGCACATTTCCTTTTATTATACTTAGAAAAACGATTATTGCTTTTGAAATACAAATATTTGCAGTCATGTCTGCCCGTCTTATGGGCCTGTTCACATATCGCGTCTTTTGCGCGCTCAAGTTCGTTATTTCAAATGTAGGTGCGCGGTATGCGCGCTCATAATGGAAGCGACGCGGTCGTGGTGCGACGCGCTCGTTTTTTCCAAGCGCGTGCGCGCCGCATCGAGATACGAACATCTCAACTTTTCAGAATGCCGCAAGCGCACCGTAGCTTAGCAACGCCAGACGCCTACGGAGCGCAACCGCCCTAGCGCTTTGGAAAAAGGAGAACGCGGCGCGCCTAGCGTTTTCTACGCGTTTTTGGGCGCTAAATGTGAATTCAGCCTTATTTAATTATTTCTACACATGTATAGTGTCTCAGGCAAATTACTGACTTTGCACAAATCAAAGCAAACCTTCTTATCAACACATACAAGCTCAAAATGATTATTCTCACATTGTTTTAGAGCAGGGGTCTCCAACACGTCGCTCGCGAGCTACCAGTAGCTCGTGGCATGTTCACATATCGCGCTCACATATTTTGCTTGCTCAAGTTCGTTATTTCAAATGTAGGCACGCGCCAAGCGCGCTCATAAGCGACGCGCTCATTTTTTCCAGGCGCAGTAAGTTTGTACTTCGCGGTTGTCTATGATAACTATTGACAACAAACCCACCGTAAGCTGTCATGAGACTATCTATGGTAGCCCATAAGGGATAAAAAATATATATATATTTTTAAAACGCGGCACACGCAACGACGGGCCGCACTAACATTAAACTTTAATGTCAAGTAGGGGGCCACAAAATATCGCGGGCCGCGAGTTTGAGACCACTGATTTAGGGCATGACTACCTATATCACACTATTTCATGCCATTGGTGCAGTATTAGACGATCAATATTCTTGCTTCGGCATCCCATGTTGAACTCCATCATATCACCGGGATGATAATCCTCCGATCTGAAGTGAACGCTACACACGACCGCGTTTCTCGAAGCCGATGCGGAAGAGAAATCCCGTCTCTTCACCTGCACACACCGCACCAGGCACGAAAGATATACAGCACCGCCTCTTTACTTGTTATGGAAACCCGTGGACTCGATCTCCTGAGGAGTTTTTGCAACCTCCACAAACAATAATTTACCATGACGATGATAAATTAAAATACAAAAACTACCGAAAACACACTGACTCACGGCCGCTCTCACTGAATACCATTACCATTAACTTTTCATATGGTATTTTCATACAAGGTTATACACTACCGTTCAAAAGTTTGGGGTCGGTACGATTTTAAATACTTTTAAAAGAATTCTCTTCTGCTAACCATGGCTGCGCTTATTTGATTAAAAATACAACAAAAATCAGTTATAGTATTAAATATTATTCCAGTGTAAATCAGCTGTTTTCTGTGTGAATATATAGTAAAGTGTAATTTATTCCTGTGATCAAAGCTGAATTTTCAGCATCACCAGTGTCAGTGTCTTCAGTGTCAAATGATCCTTCACAAATCAGTATAATATGAGGATTTGATGCTCAAGAAACATTTATTATTATTATCAATGTTGAAACAGTTGTTGGTCTGTCAGTTGTACATTTTTTTTTTTTTTTTTTTAGGATTCTTTGATGAATAGGAAGTTCAAAAGAACAGCATTTGTTTGAAATAGAATCTTTTGTAACATTATAAATGTCTTTACTGTCACTTTCGATCAAATTAAGTATTGATTTCTTTCCTCCAAAAAAAAAAAAATTCTCACTGACCCCAAACTTTTGAACGGTAGTGTATATTAATTTAGATTTTTTTTTTACCTGCAATATGCTCTTTAAGGATCTGTTTTTTTTTCTTTCTGTTTTGCAGGCAAGATTGACGTGTCCATGCTGCAATTCACGTGTAAAGGACGCCGTTTTGACAAAGTGCTTCCACGTTTTCTGTTTCGAGTGCGTGAAGACGCGCTACGACACCCGTCAGAGAAAGTGCCCGAAGTGCAATGCTGCATTTGGTGCCAATGATTTCCATCGCATCTACATTGGATGAGACTTATGATGGACGGTGTCTGCCTCCGTTTTGGTCCAGTTCCTCAACATTGTTCTCCGGGTGGAGCTTGTCCTGTAATGTTGTCGAAACATCAACAGTTTTACATTCCATTTGAAATTGCTTTTTTCAGAAAAACTACCAACATGTTCAGTTGCATCGGTTTAGCAGAACTAACCTGGTCACATTCCACAGGTCTGTCTTGGCAAACATTTTTCACTCATAAAAGCTGCTGCTGCTTGCTTTCAGGAGTGTCCTTAATGTTTGTTGACTTCCTTTGAGTTAATACTGCCTCAACCAGATCTCCCATTCCACCTCAACTTTACCTTTACTACCCAGAGCCAATGTGAACCCATCAACCTGAGAGAGTTTACAGACCTGTGATTGAAAACAAGCTGCCTTGTCGACTGGACAGTAGTTCGTTTGCGTTCACTTTGCTGAACATTTGTATTGCATTTTTGTACTGTCTGTTATGACTGCTTATAGTGATGGTTGTGCAACTGCTTCATTGAAATCCATTAAAATATTGAAATGTATTGACGATGTCTTTATGCTTTCTTTTTAAAGTTATGGTAACACTTTATTTTGAGGGGAAGTAGTTACACGTTATTACATCTACTTACTATAGTAATAACAGTAAATTATGCATAATTACATTTAACTAACACTAAACCAAACCCTAACTCTATATTAAGTACATGTAGTTAATATTATTTAGTACAATGTAACTATCACCTTAAAATAAAGTGTAACCAATATGTAATATTTCTGATACTAAAAAAACTTTTATAGTATGTTTACTTTATGCAATGGTAATAGTTTATGAATCAACTCATTGGGAAGTTTCTTTCCTCGTTATTTTTAAATTGAGAATGGTTTAGTATATTAATAAGTTTATGAGAAAGTGTATGGTTACACTTTATTTTAAGGTGCCCTTGCAGTGTAATTATACAACTGAGTAGGGTTTGGTGTTCAGGGTTAGTTGCTTATAATTATGCATAATTTACTGTTATAACTAGCAAGTACATGTAACAAGGACACTAAAAGTTTTTTTTTTTTTAATGTTAAGAAACAATATATTGACATGGGCTACATACAAAGGCCTAATAGTTGTTAGTGTAATTATATGCTATTGAATATATTTATATAATATATATAAACATGAACATGCACAGCAGGAATGTAGGACATTAGCAACTCATTGTCAGTTTGTAACCTGGTATAATTTATGCACATTTTATATGCTCATTTTTCTATTTTCATATTTGGTTCTCCATAATTCTGTATTTCTTGAAAAAGCACATGTCCCAGCGTGCAGATCTTCACGCACCTCGGGCGCTACTGTAAATCTCATAATAAACACCTCGCGAACGTTACTGTCGCGTCGCGTCGTTCGCTTGAAGTGCCAACACTGTTTCTCTCTGCATGGCACAGGAATGCAGGAGGCGGAGGCAGGCATAACCGTATTAACATGTCTGTACTCCAACAATAGTGTTCAAACTTTACCCTACCGTGCACGACGAACTCTTCAAACACCTTCAACATTTGAAGAGATCCTCAAATGCTGGATTCATTTCAGATATTCGCTCAATAAAACGCTTCGTTCTCGTAAGAAAATAGACTTTTGCGCGTTTAAAAACCCTCGTTTTTGTATTAGACAGTTTAAAAATTCAGTTGAAACTTATTTAATCTATGTCTTAACGCTTTGTTGTTCGATACCATATACAGTCATCTAGACGCTATTTTTAAGTACCCTTGGCAAGCGCGCGTGCCCGCGGACTTCTTGAAGCAACTGAATCTGCTCAGCCATGAAATATAGTTTTGTTAGAAGGAACTACCAGTAGATTTTTTTATTCATAGACTTTTTCCAAGTACATTCAAAACAACAACACTGGACAAAACTATCGAGCTATTGTGCAAATCGTTTTTTGTTTGTTTGTTTCTTTTCTCAACTATCAGAAGTCGCGTGCTCATCCTGCAAAAGGATGTCTGTTCACAACGTTGCCTCGAAAAGTTCGGAAAAGCTGCTGTACTTTGGGTTTTTGGTTCTGGTTCGTTCAGTCTTATGTCATGGGTTTGAGTTCAATCCAGGCTCTTATGATTTTGGGTCTGTGATACTGGAGCCTCTGGAGGCGTTGAGAAGATACGTGGAGTCCATTGTTGGCACCCATGTGATTGAGATTTGTATTGAGGTAAAACGTCTTTTTTTTTTTGGTTATTTGTGAGATGATGTAATTAGGCTATTTATTCTATGGTAAAATATATATAATTTAACCGTTCAAAATATTGCATAGTGGTGCGTGCTCTTACATTGACTGTTTCATTGAACTTTCTCCTGAAAATAGACACAAATTATGACGTTTTCCTGGATATTGAGAAAATTTGAAATATTTTAATTCATACTGAAATCTGCTGTCTGAGCAAACTTTAGAGGAGACACATGATACAGTTTTTTTGTTGTTTTTTTTGCCTAAGGAGAAACACCTGAGAAGCATGAGACTCTAGCCGGTGAAACAATTGCGATTCTGAATAGATCTCTTTTGTGATGGTTTACAAAAAAAAAATTAAACATTTATATGGAATGTTTAATAACGTCTTCCCATCTAAAAGGGAATGTTCTCAGAACTTTTGCTAACGTTCTGGCAAAGTTCTCTCAAAATCATTTACAAACGTTCTTCCAGTAACGTTAATAAAATATTCGTAAAGTTATCTGATCTTTAATAATGTTCTCAGAATGTTAGCACAAAAACATAATTTATATAGTTCATGGAAGGTTAAAAAACATTAAAAAGTTTTCCATAATGTTGGCAAACGGAATGTTTCCTTAGTGTCCACATAACCAAGAAAAAAAACATTTTTAGAATGTTTTAAACATTCAGAGAACGTTCAGAAATAACGTTTTCAAAACATATCATGAACATTAGCAAAACGTTCTTGGAACATATTTTTGTAAGCTGGGTTTCTGAATTCTGGTTACCTTGTTGTAACTGGACCTTCACTAATGAATGCTTAAACACGGGTTTCTTCCTACTTTTATCCCTCTCTCATGTCGTCCCTCTACTTGTTAATCCTTCTTTAACCCCCTCCTCTCCTCCACTCATCCTTTGGCCTAATTTCCTCTGCTTGTGTCCCCCCTCACCCACCTCTCTTTGACCCAGAATGCTGTGTTGTACCTTGACTCAGTGTTTGGCCCAGAGAACATCTATTCTGTTGCTATGGTAAGAACAAGTAAAAGTGTCAGAGCTCGTGTCCCACGGACTGCTTTGTTCACTTGCTTTGACACGTGCACTGCTCATCCTTGTGTTACTGTGTGTGTGTGTGTGTGTGTGAAAGTGACAACTGCTACTGAGAAGAAAAAATGCCAGAACAGGTGCGCCCAGGCTCACGCCCAGAATGACAAACAATACTTCTTTCCTTAGTGATTATTTTCCCATTAACTCCCTTCATGAAGTCATACACACACACACTCTCTCTCTGTGTGTATACATTTGTTTGTGTTCGTCCTTCACCAAATGAGGTGACCTTATGCCAGAGAGGAGTGTATTTGATCACAAGTAATGTACCGGTATGTGTGATAGCTGCGCATGTGTGTGAGTGATTGAGTTAAGCGGGTGCCCAGCTGTCACTCTGGCAGCTTTACACACACACACACACACACACACACACACACACACACACACACACACACACACACACACACACACACACACACACACACACACACACACACACACACACACACACACACACACACACACACACACACACACAGAGCTCTCTTAGTATTGTGGTGTGTTCTCGTACAAATACTATTAAAGATTAGCCCTCCTCCTTCTAGTCCAGTCATTTTAAGCCAAAATGGGGGTCAACCTTGAACAAATTGCAACAGAAGCAAACTCAACTGATTTTGTATCCTCAATATGTCCTGAGTAAGGGGAAAAAAAGCCCTGATGAATCCCATTAGGGGAAAGTTTAGAAAAAGACCCAAATATATCCCATTCATACGCCTATTCATTATTTTTCTCACGTGAAAAGGGTAAAATTTTTAACCTTTAGATATCACCATGAAAATTACTGAGTTGATTACTTACATCAAGACAAACAAAAAATGTATTACAAGTTTTTTGCAATTGTTTGTTAACATGGACAAATGGTGCATAATCTAATTACATATGTGCTAATTTGCATAAATACCCAAACAGATCTAAACATTGGGTAGCAGGTGAAAATGTCTTGTAGAATTTTGTTGACATATAACAGTAAACTATTTAATATTAAAGTCTGAATGGAACCCATTTAGGCTACCCATGAACATTAATGCAGGAAGAAGTACTTAAGAAACCAGGCTTTATTAATTATTATGGCAGAGATGGGGTTTGGGGCTGGGTCAGTGGGACTGTTTCTGGGGGATGAGTCTGAGGGAAGAACAGGAGACATGGGTAAGGAGAATGCAGAAGACAAAAGGTAGGTGAAATAAAAAGTGTCTGGATCAAAAAATCTAAATTACGTACACAATGCACTCAATGCCCAAACCCCATCTTTGCAATAATAATTAATAAAGGTTGGTTTCTAAAGTACTTCTTCCTGTATTAATGATCATGGGTAGCCTAAATGGGTTCCATTCAGACCTTAACATTAAGTCTTTTACTGTTATATGTCAACAAGATTCAAAAAAACATTTTCACCTGCTACCCAATGTTTAGATCTGTTTGGGTAATTATGCAAATTAGCACATATGTAATTAGATTATGCACCGTTTGTCCATGTTAACAAAGAATTTCAAAAAACTTGTAATACATTTTTTGTTTGTCTTGATGTAAGTAATCAACTCAGTGATTTTCATGATGATATCTAAAGGTTAAAATTTGTACCCTTTTCACGTGAGAAAAAGAATGAATAGGCGTATGAATGGGATATATTTGGGTCTTTTTCTAAACTTTCCCCTAATGGGATTCTTCAGGGCTTTTTTTTTCCTTACTCAGGACATATTGAGGATACAAAATCAGTTGAGTTTGCTTCTGTTGCAATTTGTTCAACCTTTTTTCATAAAATGACTGGACTATTAGCCTTTCAAGCTAGATTCCAAACCTGCTAGTTTGCTTTCTTTGTTTGATCTCAGTCAGCTGATGGGTTATCTTATCACCACTTAAAATAATGTTTTGGGTTCAGTACAAGTGAAGCTTGTAAAAACAAGCAAAAATCATGGTTTATGCACTTACAGTGGAAAATAACGTTCTGGAAGCTTTAAACTCTCATATATCCAATCACTTTGATTCCTCCTTACAATAATGTGTTATTTGAGCCGTAACGTTGTCTAAAGGCTGGAATACACTACTCAACTTTTCTCAGATTTCCCCCTATTTACAGTCTGAAGGAGTTAATGCTAGAATTAGAAACTAAAAATCAAAGTCAGTCTTCAGATTTGTTCTCAACCCAGATTTGACATTGAACATTATGTGACAATCAACACAATATCACATTTGTATGGATGCTTGTTTCCACCACTGAATAAATAATAAAAAAAGGTACTCTGAGTTTATATCTCGCAATTCTGACTTTATAACTCGCAAAAAGTCCGAATTGTGAGATAAAAAGTTGCAATTATCTTTTACAGTTTTATTCCGTGGGTGTGGCGGAAACAAGCTTCAACACATTTGTTTAGACAAAAATGCCCTCATAATCAAACATTAAACCTGACTAATATTACCATGAAATGCATATGCGTAAATTTGTAAATGCAAAAGCAACAGTGGAACTATGATTTACCGGCCTAACATTAACACTGAGCCAAATACTGTATTCTGACATGACACTCATATTTGTTTGTCCAGATAATACATCAAAAGTGCAATTCGTACATTCAATGACTTAAAACACAACTCATTCGCACTTTATATTATGCATCTTTAACTACTACGTACTTACACCCCAAAAAAAATTACTACAATGTACTTATTATGTTGATGTTGTATTGTTATTGTTATATGGGTAAGGTAGGCTCAGGTTTAGTGTTATGGGTAGGACTAAGGGTGGGTTAAAAGGGAAGGGTCAACAGTGTAATCATAGATGTAATTACAGTAATTAATTACAGCTGTAATTCCATGCAACTTTTTTAAATACAAGTACAATGTAAAAACATGTTTGTTCACAATAAGTGCAATGTATGAAATGACTATTTTAGATAGTAGTTAGACACTTAATATAAAGTGGGACCCACATCTCTTTTACGACATGCACATTTTGAAGTAAATTTTATTTAGTTATCTTGAATTTTAAAGAATACAATTCTTGAAAAGAACTCTTATTAGTTTGGCATAATATTTTAGAAAAAATATTAGAGAACCAGTTATGTTAAAAATTTCACAGCCTGCATACACTATAAATATTCGTATTTGCAGTGTTTTCCTTGCGGTACTGTACCTCTACCGTTCTAGATGAATGAACGATGCAACGTTTTGCCTCATAGACATACATTGTTAAGGGCATTAATAAAATCATGATTTTGTTTGTTTTTAAAGTTAAAAATATTCTTTGTAATCAAAAGTATGTCACACATGCTGTCTGTAGAATTTCTATTGAACCCAAAACATTCCTTTAACTGAATCACATGTGCATTGTGTCAGAGTGTTAGTTAATGATCAACATGTAGACCGCCCTCAGTGCTCACTACCTAGACACGTGCTGGAATCTAACCGCTATTCTTTTCCTTAATGTTTTATTCAGTTTGTGGAAATGTTGCTGAAGTTTGTTGCTGAAGGAGCCGCCAGTGGGCTGAACGTCATTGCTGTGTATGTGTCTGAGATACTCAGAGCTACAGGAGTGAACGGTGAGTAAAGGTCATCTCGCAGAGTCTATGTAACTTGAATACGCATAACATCAAAGATAAATGTAATTCAGTGTGTAATCATCATTATAATATAAGCCACATGAAGTGTTTCTACTATCTGGCAAGCTTGAGCTGTTGAAAACTAACAGAGAACGTATGTTAGGCTATCGTAATCCTGATATAAATGACTGTCACTTTGTATCTGTGGAATGACAGATAAGTTAAGCATATCGTTGTTGTGTAAACGTACCCTAAGTGCAATGTAGTGTTGTCAAAAATATAGATTTTTCGTTATATTGATTCTGAAACGCTTCCAATAACTTTCTGCAGAATAGATAGCCTCAGCTGCTCTTTCTTGCTCTCATCTCTTACACACAAACCCTCACTCACTTGTTTCAGTTGCTCAGGTTGAATATTGTTGGTGTTACAGGGTTTAAATTTCGGAGTGGGATTGCGCATTTTTCGCATGATTTTACTCATTCCTGCAGATTTTGTGCTCACACCCAAAAGTATGCGCACATAAAGCTGCCTCTCAGTACTAAATTGAGTTATTTTTTCGCTGCCTATTATGCTTAAACAGTTAAATACACACACAACAATGTCAAAATGCCGGTCTTGGTGAGTATTCAAGTAAACACAGTCAGTCGTTTTAAAGGTGCAGTGTGTATTTTTTAGCGGCATCTAGCGGTTCGGTTGCGAGTTGCACTAATGGCTCAGCCCACTGCTCACCCCTCCCTTTCGAAGAAGCTACGGTGGCTAAAACGGGACAAACATATCGTCGTCTGAGACAGCAGAGAATAGCCAGAGTAAACCAAGTTTCTGTACCACAGTCCATTATTATAAACCACATCATGGATAAAGTTTACAAAGCCATAGTCAGGTGAGGATCAAGGGTCTTACCGTATTTTCCGCACTATAAGGCGCACTTAAAAGCCTTTAATTTTCTCAAAAAACGACAGTGCGCCTTATAATCCGGAGCGCCTTATATATGGATGGTGAACACACGTTCACCAAGACGGGGAGAGCGCCGGGCGACTTACGCCACTATCTGCCAATGGATCGTGGATGCCTGGGGTGATATAACTGTGATCCGAGCTTTCGCGAAGGCAGGAATAATCTCTTTATTCAGCCAGCTCACATACCCGTATTTACTTCCTGTTTTCGGCCGAAGTCCACAGTAGTTGATTGTCGAGTTCGCGCGCGCGATCAAACCTCCTCCGTGTGTTCAACATCTGATTCGGATGAACTATCCATTTGAGCTGATATTCTCAGAACAGCACACAGCACCGTCATCGGCTCACAGCTGACAGTCTGAGTCTCCACTGTTGCTTAGTTACCAATGATCGCGCGGGCGCGCACTCGACAATCGCCTACTGTGGACTTCGACCGAAAACAGGAAGAAAATACGGGTATGTGAGCTGGCTGAATAAACATCATTTTTATTCATATCTTTCACATTTACTGCAGTCAGATTCACCGTGTTCACTCACATGGCTGTGCACTTGTAATGACACATTAAGGTTGTTAAGAGGCTAAAAACAGGTTTAAAACTTTTCCCGTTTAAGTCAACAGGGTGCAAATTTTAAAAAGAGGATAACACGGTGTAGGCAACACCGGTTTTTGTCGTTGTTATCTGTACTGACAGCACTCCAAATTTACAAAAAATGAGCTCAATGTTAAAATTGACCTGAGTTTTCCTTTAACGTTTGAACAACGTTACCATGGGAGTGAACAGAGTTGTCAGAACGCTTAATAAAGTTTGACTTTATCTGACTGTTTTGTTGACATTTGTTGACATCTAGTGGATGCATAACGCAAACCCAGTCAAACGTTTAACTGCAGTATCTTATGCGCCTTATAATCCGGTGCGCCCTATATATGAAAAATGTTCTAAAATAGGTCATTCATTGAAGGTGCGCCTTATAATCCGGTGCGCTGTATAATGCGGAAAATACGGTAATATATAATATAGTAATAGTAATCAGCTGATTGTCTCACGAACGTAACCAGCACATTTCTCCCCACATAGCAAACCCATAATACAGCGAGGGAGAAGAACCACATGAAACTATCCAACTATATATTCTAACAGGGTAGTAAAAGTTTAGCTGGCTAATATGAGCTGTTACTGTGGCTGAGCTGGTTAAAGCGTAAAGCCTTGTTTATACTCGACGCGTCTGCATGAGCGCAAATGTCCCCTAGACACCATTTACTACACACAAATTAATAAATAATAATAATGAATAAAAATATAGTTTTTTTTCTCTGGTTTTGAAAACTCTTCGCGATCGACTTAAAATGCTTCCAAGATCGACTTGTCGACTGCGATCGACGGGTTGGTGACTCCTGTAACGTTACTGTTTTCCGGTCAATAGTACTAATCAGCTGATTGTCAAAGCGATAACACAGCGAGGGAGAAGAACTAAGTTACATGAAACAATCCAACTACATATTTTACACCACTGACAAGGGAAAAGTCACAACTCACGGTGTCTTTGGCTAGCTTCTAGCTTTCTGCGGCTTCTCTTTCAAGGTAGTGACGAAACGCGCTCTGTAGCGCTGTGTGTGTTCGCTGTCGGCTACGGTAGAAACATGACGTCACAATATGTCGACCTTCATAGAAGGGGGTGCCCGCGGTTATGTGAATATAAATGTCTAATTCTAAGGTAATAAAAACATAACGGTTCATTGAGTGAGGTCTTTATACACCACTGAACACATAGTTATGGATCTTATATTGCATTTCTGTCAATAGATCCTCAGAAATATTACACATTGCACCTTTAAGTGAATGCAAACAGTTGAGAAAGAAAACGCATGTGTAACAGTATAATGGATCAGTACGTCAGGTCTTAAAGTGACGGGAGCCTAATATACCTGCTGCCAAATTATGAGATAATACAAAAAATATGTATATGGCAGTTTTTCCCCATGGCATCAATGCCAAAATTGTGGCTAGTGAAACTTTGTAAAAACCACTAAAACTTGCAAAAGTATAAGAATAGTAAATTCCACACCACAACGATAACGACACAGAGAAACGATATCGTTGGAATCACTCTCAGATCAATTCTTTTTTCCAGTTGATGATTGATAAACACATTTAGAGCCAATCAGAATCCAGAATTCAAGCATTTAAAATGGCAGTGCAGTTATTTATAACACTGCAGTTATATTGTGCATTGGTGATGACGCTAATATAGTTATTGTTATAGTTAAACTTTGGCATGTAAGGGGCTGTAAGAACGTCCTTTACGGTCGCTGTGATTTTTCCAAGACATGTTCCTGGGTCAACATGGCCCAGTTTCACAGACAAGGCTTAAATTAAGCCAAGATTTGGCCTTAGTTCAGTTAGGACATTTAAGTAGCCTTTAAACATGCCTTATAAAAAAAACATTACTGGTGTGCATTTTGAGACTAAACAATGGCACGGATATATTTTAAGATACATCAGTACAAGTTGCTTTTAAACCTTGTTTGTGAACCATCTTGCTGCTTTTTTTCATTGTCTCATACATGAGTGCCTTGTTTTTAAGGTTAAAAGAAGTCTTTAAAAGCGTGTCGAGGCTCTGCATTGTTTTCTATTCATCAGCGCTGTGGGCTCTGTAGTTGCATACTATGGTCTTCTTCACATAATATTATATTAATATACTTCACATTTTTAAAAGAAAAAAACAGCACCTTACTCATCCCACACTAGTTTGTGCTATAAATATAGATACGTCTTATTTGAGGAGAGCAAAGCACCAACCACAACATCAACCAAACAGCAACCACTCCAAATAGCTTAGAATGTAAATGTCTAAAAGTTTGGGAATCCCTGCTGTATCAAATGGGATACTGGGGAAAAAATAGCAACTTACGCAATAATAAAGACAATTCTGACTAGATGGTGCTGAGAAATCACACTAATTTTCTTTATAAAATGCAACATCTAATTAACATCTGTTCTTTTTTTTTCTTCCTCTGTGCGTGTGTATTATTCAAAGAGACAATATCTATCCCTCATTTCACCTCCGAGGGAGTGTCTGCTGTGACCAAGTGTGCTGTGCTGGCTCTGATTGGTTACTGGCTGCTGTCCTTCCTGCTGCGGGTCACTGTGGCGCTTGTGCGGAGAGTGTTCTGGCTGATTAAAGCGGTTGTAGTGCTGTGGCTGTTTGTGCGGATCGTCGGTGACCCCGTCACCCCCCCTGAGGTCACCACAATGAGACTCACCCTGCTAGTGCTAGTCTGTGCTGTGTTTGGAGTCGCTACGAGCAGCGGAGGAGGAGGGAGTCTGGAAACCCGAATCAGCAGTCTGGAGGGTCGAGTCAAAGGCATGGAAAAGAAGAAAAGAGAGTGATGAGCAGATCAAAACAAGTATACGGATACGGACTCACGATAACAGAAGGATGAGGACTCAGGGATGACATTCTGAGTGTTTCATGTAACTTTCAAGCAGCCTTAGGAGTATTTATGTCTGATTTATCCTGCTTTGAATATATTGCATAATTCACTGGACCAGAAAAGGAATTGCTTTATTTTCTCTGTAAAGCAAGAAGACAAAACTCCACCAGAAAGCTCTGTGAATTTCATGTGGTATAATTAAAGCTATCCTTGAATGTTGCCTGTTGCTTTATGACTGTCATTGCATGAACATATTAATGTTCAGTTCAACTGTACAACAACAGTAACAATACGAAATCAACACAATGAAGACACTGATTAGGGAAACACATAGATCTATGCTGGCAATGTCTGACTGGACTATAGCCTACATTTGAATGTACTCTGGCCTTTTTTGACACAATATGGATAAAATGTATTAGATATATATTTGCATATAACTATCATGACTGAATAAATCTGGATAATTTGCCTATGGCTGTGTGTTGGCTATGGTCGACTTATTCCCACTACTATATGCAAACGTTTTTATACAGCAGCCTCAAAAAATATTTGAATGCATACACCATGCTTAAAATTGATTAATTTCATTGAATATACACTGTAAATAAGTTTCTGCTTTAGATTTTTACGTACAATCAACTTGGATGTTTGTCATTTCAACTTAGATTAACCTGACTTAAAAAATGAGTTGAATCTTACATAAAAAAGTTGAAAATTGCTTATTTTGATGAGCAATGTTAAAGCAATGTAAAAACACATGTTTGCATAACTTATTGGTCATATAATTGTTTAAAGTGTATAAATGGACAAATGCTGCTAGACATAATCTTGGAACTGACCTTTCTGAAACATGTTGTCATTTAACCGTCTGGTGCCGAGGTGATTTTGATCAGTTCTCCTCAAGTTCACACAGGTGGGAAGAATCACATTAACTATCAACATGATACGCTACCGTTTGGCAACCATGTTTTCAGCACTAAAAATATTATATTATTTTACTTGAGCATTTTAAACTTAACTTGTTTTTTTAGTCAGACGTTCTATTCCGTCTGCACTATTTATCCGCGCTGCATCACGTGTCACTTTGAGACGCCATGTTTTTCTTGTCTTTTAAAAAAAAAAAAAAAAATTATAATTAGTTGTACTAAATTAACAATATATTAAAACACACTATATTATCGTTCAAAGTAAAATGATATTCATAACTGTTGGGGAAACACGTGTGAGAGCACAAGTCATTAATTGTAGTATATGATACAAGTATATTGTTAAACACGTTACAATAAATCTCCAAATATATACAGTATCTACTGCACTTTTTCTGTTTTTTTTGTCATTGTGAGTAATGTATCCCAATACTTATATAGAATTTATCCAGTAGATGGCGTTACTCTCGCATTCAAAGGGCAGCTTGATTTATTTAGACTGTTGTAATGTAATACATTTATGATAACTAATTAGACAGACAGATGTAGAGTCATGTATGTGTAGAGACATAGATAGACAGATAGATATACAGATAATAGATGGATAGACAGACAGAGACAGATAGATGATAGATACAGAAAGTTAGACAGACAGATAGATAGGTAATAATAGATAGATTGGTAGATAGATACAGAAAGATAGACGGACACACAGAGATATAGACAGATGATAGATAGGCAGATAGACAATATATATATAGATACAGACAGATAGACGATAAATAGATATAGAAAGATAGGGCAGAGTCAGATAGATGAATGGATGGATAGATAGATTAGATAGACAGATCTATAGTGCTGATCTTAAACAGACAGAAGGACCGACAGACAGACAGACAGACAGACAGACAGACAGACAGACAGACAGACAGACAGACAGACAGACAGACAGATAGATAGATAGATAGATATAAGGAAATCTGATATCAGTATCTTTGGACGGATCAAATAAACGACTCCATTTTATTATTTTTCTGGATTTTTTTTGGTAGTTCACATTTTATGTACAAGTCACAAAACTGTGCACGTAAATACAAAAATACATAAAACATACAAGAGTGAGATAAATAAATACAAAGACACCTTCAGCTCCATTCATGATAACTGTGTTACTAACGTTAAAGGCTACAGCATAACATAGCAAAGTTACTTAGTAAAGAGCGGTGAAGGTGTTCATTCACACGGCCCTAAATAAAAACACCGCTTTGATGGCGGATCATCAGTTTCAAACGGGCTTTTTAGGATGCGAAACTCATTCCTCAGTTTAAAGCACTCCATCCGAATGACTAACTCAGTCCTGTGACTAAACAGTCCGTTTAAAAAACAAACAAATCATAATACAAATACAATGTATTACCCATAAGCCCCAGTCTACAGTGTATCTATATTCTTTTTGACGTCAAAAAATAAACGACACCGGTCTGATTAAGCAAAATTAGGCTGTATATGTTTCCTATTACTGCTCACGTGTGTGTGCACATATAGATGAGAAAGTCAGTGAAGTGTCATCCTGTGAATGCTTCTGAAGTCCATACGCCAGCTGAGCTTTCACTGGACAATCTGTGGCATTTCACTCCAGGCTTTGGCCTTCTTCTTGGCGAGAGCCAGCCAGGGGGGCTCGTCCTGGGCCAGAGGCGCAGCGGACGGGTCAGCGCTTCTCTTGCTCTCCTTCTCTAGCATGGACGTGTTGGAGAGCTCCAGGGAGCAGCACACTGTTCATTCAAAAACAATGCAAAACAGCTCATATTAGTCATCTTCCTTTATACAGCATTTATTACATCTCACTGTTTTCTCCAGAGCTGCTTTAAAGATAAAGACATACTATTGAGAGATATAGAGTGAGAAATGATATTTATATGCATTTTATGCAAGTAGTCTGCTATATACTTATAAAGATCTCATTGAGTTAGTTACAAGCTATCAGAATTGCATCATACTTTTTGGTTAAATAAATAATATCTGAAACAAATTCCGGCTCAGTTTGGGCCTCTGAATCAAATTGAGGTGTTTTTCCTCCTCAAATATGAGCTCCATATTCTCATTATATCAAACTGTATAGGGTAATACAACTTTTTTCTTTAGTTTATTTATATATATATATATATATATATATATATGAGCTGTTTTTATAAGAAATATTTTGTCTAAAGGTTCAATTAATTTTTTTGTGTGACTATTGTTATATTTGTCAGGTTAATTTAGATTGATTTTAGAGAGTTACAATAAATATCCACAAGGGGGCAGACATTTATTGATATCATTTCCCTTTTCACCCGAAGCTTACAACACAACCTCATGCTATTAAGAGATTAAAACCACATTTTGTAACTTTGCAGGTCGCTGCACATTTCAGACCCAACAGAACAAACCTAAATCCAGAGAAGCTTTGCTGATACTACTGGAGAGATTATTACCTTGTAAAGGTGAACACGGCTGTGCTAGTTGCTCTTTGGTGACTGGATTTGATAAACTGCTCGGTGAATCCGGTCTTTTGTCTTCCCCCTGAAAACAAGTGGATACATATTAAATATAAGTGAAAATAAACAGTATTTCAGAAATGAACAAAAGAGCCATGAAGGAAAATGTAGATGAATCTTTGAAAGGGATGTTCAGGGATGTTCAATACAAACCCTACCGATTACATTGGTATCTGAAAATATGAATTACCACAGAAAATGAGTCGGCGCACTAACTGAAATGAAACCTCACTCGGTTTCAGAACAGAGCTTGATTCACTTCATTAAAACGTCACTGAACACTGTCATCTTTGCATGTTGCATCTTGGGAAATACAAAGTAGGATGTGTTCGTGTGTGTGAATCTGATCGTCCTGTTGCTTCGTGATGCTAAGACCGTTTTCAAGCACCTCCTTGAGAACCGGGCAAGACTGAACATGACACATTTGTGTTGATGATATGAAACACACCTGTGAGGGAAGTTTCTCAGCTGAGGTCTCCATGAAGTTCTTCTGCTTCTGTCTGGCCACAGAGATCCAGCTCGGAGACTCAGAGCTACCGGCAGATATTCTGCCCACCGCATCTGAAAAGGACATCATATTCTTTCATGACATAAAATGGAAGAGAAAAATAATGCTAAACAATAATATAATAACCAATTTTTCAAGATCTAGTCAAATCCTGATCAATGCAATAAAGTCCTGCCCTGTATTATTTCCAATATTCTTCCTAATCTTATTTATTTAGGTCAAGTTATGCAAGTTAAATGTATTGCAAATGCCGTTAAGTTGTTGTTGATTATTTCAATTAGTGCCTGCAAAATAAATACCAAAGGAACGCAAACATTTTCTAAACTGAATTAACAACAAATCAGCATTATAGATTTTGCAATCATCCTATTTTACATTGATATTTATTATTTAATAATGATATAAATTGCAATTAAATGAAATCATTATAATTATTTTTAAATTTTCAGTACAAATATCTAAATGATAAATTTACTTTAGTTGTAAAATTAATATAAAATATACAGTATATTTTTTAATTTAATTTACAGTAAAGAAGTAACAATAAGATTTTTATTAATTTTTTAATGACTAGATCTTAACTTTATTAACTACAAATCAGCATTATAGATTTTGCAATCATCCTATTTTACATTGATATTTATTATTTAATAATGATATAAATTGCAATTAAATGTAATCATTATAATTATTTTTATATTTTCAGTACAAATATCTAAATGATAAATTTACTTTAGTTGTAAAATTAATATAAAATATATTTTTTAAAATTTAATTTACAGTAAAGAAGTAACAATAAGATTTTAATAATTTTTTTAATGACTAGATCTTAACTTTATTAACTACAAATCAGCATTATAGATTTTGCAATCATCCCATTTTACATTGATATTTATTATTTAATAATGATATAAATTGCAATTAAATGTAATCATTATAATTATTTTTATATTTTCAGTACAAATATCTAAATGATAAATTTACTTTAGTTGTAAAATTAATATAAAATATATTTTTTAAAATTTAATTTACAGTAAAGAAGTAACAATAAGATTTTAATAATTTTTTTAATGACTAGATCTTAACTTTATTAACTACAAATCAGCATTATAGATTTTGCAATCATCCCATTTTACATTGATATTTATTATTTAATAATGATATAAATTGCAATTAAATGTAATCATTATAATTATTTTTTATATTTTCAATACAAATATCTAAAATATCTAAATGATAAATTTACTTTAGTTGTAAAATTAATATAAAAAATATATTTTTTAAATTTAATTTACAGTAAAGTAGCAACAATAAGATTTTAATTAATTTTTTTAATGACTAGATCTTATAAATTATGAGAAAAAGTATTTCATTTAATGTTGCAACTAAAGTAAATGTATCATATTTTGAAGATTTAAATCTCATTTTGTTGGCACACAGTCAGCTTTTTAAGAATGGAGGTACCTGGGATTTTCCTGGCCGACATCACAGCGTCAACTATCAGATCAGGCTTGTTTGGCAAGACGGGCTTCCTGGCGTTCTGGTCCTGATCGGGTGTCTCCTGCGCCCCTGAAGCCTCGGTGTGTGTCCGAGATGATTCTCCATCTAGACCGTAACGGTGCAGAACGGGAGTCTTTCTCAAGCGCACGCCAAACGGGTTCTCTGGGCTCGTCTCTTCGTGGTGAACATGGATCGTCTCTCTCTGCATGGGAAGCGATGGGGAACTTCGACTTCCGTCTGGCACGGGTCGTTCCTCTTTTACGGGAGTAAAGAGTTCATATGTCTGAGGAGATGAAGCATTAGTCTCTGGCAGCGAGACGGTCTGCTCTTGGGTTCCTCCAGAAAACTGTGACCTTTGCCACGCAGGGGCGATGGTGAAGCGAGGTCGACCCTCAGCGCTGCTCCTTGGTTCTCCTGTAGGCGACTCAAGAACCGGCTGATCTTGATGCTCGGAAACAACCTCACGTTTTTCTGAAGACTCTTCCTGAGGCTCTGTAGACACGTCTGGCTCACCGGACTCAGCTTCCTCCTCCTGCTCTAGAGGACACATCGAAGCATTGGAGAACTGAGAGTGGAGAATTGGACTCTCGAGTGCCGTAGAAAGAAGGACCTCAGAGTCTTCTGTGGTCTCTGTTGAGCTCCAGATATCATCTCTGACTGTCTGATCAGATTCAGAAACGTTCTCAACACTGACTTCCACCAATTCCCTGTGGTCAACTGAAGTCTCATCTTGTCTCTGACCTCCAGCTCCTTGAGGTTCATCATTCGCAGAGCTCTCGGGTTTCTCAGGTTCTACCGCCTCCTCTTTCTCAACACCGTCTCCACCGTCTTTGGTTTCTCTCTCCAGTTCAGCTTCTTCTTCAACAACATCTTCATGTACCTCATCTTCGTCTCTTTCTTTCACAGTTACCGCGAAAGCTTTTGGCGATTGAAAGAACTCTTGGTCCTCTTTGGCCGTGTCCACTTGTTTGTCAGCATCAGCTTCAGGCACTCGGAGGCTTTCATCAGCAGACTCGGAGTCTTCTAGCAGCTCCTCTTCTTCTGTGGTCTCCTCTGAGATCTCTTCTGAATCCACAGGAGACTCTGGGGGCGAGTCAGGCAGATGAGCCGGTTCCTCTGGGGTCACTATAGGGTTTGAGGGATCGAGAAGATCATCTTCTTCAAGCTGAGAAACCACACTCCCACTGTTTATGTCTTTCACCTACAAAAAACAAGCACGAGAGTTACAATTCACGAGTTCAAATTAATATGTGGGTCAATGACGTTATGCATCAAAAATACATAAACATTTTATTCATACATAACTGACTTGAACATACAATTTTCATATTTTTGGGGGAATAAAGTTAAAAAAAATGTCAGGATGAAACAACTGCCCAGTGCTTAGTTGTTTAGTTTAGTTTTCATATTTTTATCAATATTTTGAATTAGCTTTTATTTTATATATTTTTTTATGTTGATTGTAATTTAATTATGTGACTTATTATTTTTTTATTTTTTTTGTAATATTGCTATTTAGGTTGAAAAAATATTTGAATTTGTATTTATTTCCAGTAAATCATTTTAGTGCTTGAACCTAAACTTCTTTTCGTTGAGTTTTTCAACTAAAAATAATATTTTATTTCATTTCAGATTCATTTAATTTAACAGAAATGTTTTTAATAGTTTTAATTTTGGTTAATGATAATAACACTGCAACCGCCTACATACAAATGTGAATTTCTTATTGAGCAGTTTGGCACAATATTTTATTATCACTATATTAAAATACTACATTATTTTGTACAATATATTATGCTATATTATTAATAATATTGAATTCAAATGTATAATAAATAAACATTATTTTATTAAGAAAGAATACTTCTTAAAACAGGGAGTTAAAATAACATTTGAAAAGCATTTGTCTGCCAAATCAAAGTGATGTGGTGCAATGAACATGCACAAAACAATAACAAATCAGGAAATGATATCATAGAGACGACCCCCCACAGACCCGTCATGACTGTTAATGAGATCTATGAGTACATCATTTATATTTGTAAAAAAAATGATGATTAAGATATGTACACTCATGTATTTAAGATGTTAGGATTTAATTGTATTACAATTTTACAGTGATACATTTAAACATTAAAGTTTTTTTTTCAAAAACCATATTTATCCAACATAAATACAAATGCAATCTTCCACTGAATGTGCTGTACCTCACTCTGAAGAACCATGTTCTCATGCTCCAGTGCTAGTCCTGACACAAGAGGACTCTTCAGGGAGCTCAACACTTCCTCCAGCAATGACCCCTGCTCCTCAGGAACGACCTCACATCCTGTGTCCAACAGGAAGTCATCAGCCTGCAGATCAAGTGTTACTGGACTCTCCCAAGAGGACTCTGGGAGCTCAGACTTGGGGACGTGATCCTCGGCAGGGACATGTTCCTCTCCTTCAGAGACGCTCTCTGCTGAGATGGAGGATGTTGGAGAGGTTTTGTGACACAGGCTGGAGTCAGTCACTTCCTCTTCCTCTTCATCTTCCTCGAGTCCGGAAGCACAGGACTCAGGGTCTGAATCATTAACCAAATCTAGACCAATTTGAACAACAGAATAACAATTATTGAATTACTATACACTACTGTTCTAAAGTTTGGGGTCAGTAAGATTTTAAAATGTTTTTAAAAGTTTCTCTTATACTCACCAAGGCTGCATTTATTTGATAAAAAATATAGTAAAAAAAACAGTGAAATATTACTACAATTTTTTACTACAATCTTGTGTAACATTTATAATATATTAATTTCTTCTTTTTTTTACCCCAAACTTTTAAATGGTAGTGAATCACAGTTTCCACAGAAACATTAAGCAGCACTTGTTTTCAACATTGATAATAATAATAAATGTTTCATGAGCATCAAATCATCATATTAGAATGATTTCTGAAGGATCATGTGACACTGAAGACTGGAGTAATGATGCTGAAAATTCAGATTTGATCACAGGAATAAATCACATTTTTAAAATATATTCAAATAGAAAACAGTTGTTTTAAATTGTAATAATATCTCACAATATTACTCTTTTTACTATATTTTTGATGTAATAAATACAGCCTTGGAGAGCCTTCATTAAGAAAAATCTTAATCTGGCCAAACATTTGCCCGGCGACATACCTTCACGTTCTTCCTTTCCCGAAGTCGTAACCATCCGTAGTTTGTCTTCTGTGTCTCTGAGCAGCACTCTCTCTCTCAGGTCTCTTCTCCTGTCCAGCATTTCCCTCTAAACATAAGGCAGCGCACACAGTTCAACCACTAAACACAAGCTGATGACAGAATTAAGCATTTTGGATGAACTATTCTTTGAAATGTTAAAAAAGACATCTTATATAAGAATAAAACATCACTAACAGCTCGTTGGCCTGACATGATGGGCCAACATAAATAATGGAAGAGTATGAATGTTTGATGTGAAGAATCTTACGCTGGCAGGTTTCCTCTTGGCACGAGCGTTGGCATTGACGGCGATGCGGTGACGGGCAGCTGAGCTGTCTAAGCAGGACACAGAGCTGGCGGGAAGGCTGAAGTCCACGGGGACGGACCCCTGAGGGGTGGCGGGTCTCGAAGAAGCTTCATAAGACATCTTTATACGACAAAGAAGACAGACATATAAATCACGGTTACATTCCACAACTGATTTGTTTACAACTACAAGTTCTTTTTTAAACCACTTCCCACCAAAACTTCCATATGTGGCTTGCGATTTTAAATAGATGGTCGTATTCAAAAGTATTTCCTTCCTACTCTTAACCGCCAGCAAACCAGAGTGGCATCATATAGCAGAGACGATTCTTGTGCAAGGTCACTCATGCATACAGCACGAACCATGATAAAAACAGACACCACCACATCATGACCGATGATGATGATTGTCCTCAGCTATTTCCTCTCTGAATGAAACGCAAACAAAAGCTTCTCCAGCAGAAACAACTGTAGGTTATATTGGCATTGTTGCGATTCCCCTGTATGTTTTTTCCCCCCCTTTGAAGACCAGTGTTATTTTAGTATCATTAGATATTAATCTAATGATGCACCGATGTGAAAATTGATACCGATACCGATAACCGATATTAATATTACTGTTATGGCCGATATTTACCGATGTCGATATCTCTGTATAGAAAACGCATAGCGAGGATTAGGGCTGCACGATATTGGTAAAAAATGACATTGCGATATAAAAACAATTTCACCAGATGACTTGAATAGCTCTATTTGGAAAGAATGAATCATTCTAGAAAGACTGGGGTGGTTTTGTCATGGATTAATCCGCATAGAAACTAATATTAATAGAATGTTAACTAATGTAGTTAACTAGACTTCAATAAATGGAACCTTATTGTAAAGTGTTTCCGATTTATGTCTCTTGAGTTCAGTGTTGGCCAGATCAGTTGTTTTTAACCATGTCACAAGTGAATCGGTTCAAAGGAGTCATTAGTTCGCGAATCGGACGTGTCATTAACGGACCACGGCACACGTTGTGTGATTATCCAGGCAGTTTCCCTGACAGCACACGTACACTCACCGGCCACTTTATTAGGTACACCTGTCCAACTGCTCGTTAACACTTAATTTCTAAGCAGCCAATCACATGGCGGCAACTCAGTGCATTTAGGCATGTAGACATGGTCAAGACAATCTCCTGCAGTTCAAACCGAGCATCAGTATGGGGAAGAAAGGTGATTTGAGTGACTTTGAACTTGGCATGATTGTTGGTGCCAGAAGGGCTGGTCTGAGTATTTCAGAAACTGCTAATCTACTGGGATTTTCACGCACAACCATCTCTAGGGTTTACAGAGAATGGTCCGAAAAAGAAAAAACATCCAGTGAGCGGCAGTTCTGTGGGCGGAAATGCCTTGTTGATGCCAGAGGTCAGAGGAGAATGGCCAGACTGGTTCGAGCTGATAGAAGGGCAACAGTGACTGAAATAACCACTCGTTACAACCGAGGTATGCAGCAAAGCATTTGTGAAGCCACAACACGCACAACCTTGAGGCGGATGGGCTACAACAGCAGAAGACTCCACCGGGTACCACTCATCTCCACTACAAATAGGAAAAAGAGGCTGCAATTTGCAAGAGCTCACCAAAATTGAACAGTTGAAGACTGGAAAAATGTTGCCTGGTCTGATGAGTCTCGATTTCTGTTGAGACATTCAGATGTTAGAGTCAGAATTTGGCGTAAACAGAATGAGAACATGGAACCATCATGCCTTGTTACCACTGTGCAGGCTGGTGGTGGTGGTGTAATGGTGTGGGGGATGTTTTCCTGGCACACTTTAGGCCCCTTAGTGCCAATTGGGCATCGTTTAAATGCCACGGCCTACCTGAGCATTGTTTCTGACCATGTCCATCCCTTTATGGCCACCATGTACCCATCCTCTGATGGCTACTTCCACCATGTCACAAAGCTCTAATCATTTCAAATTGGTTTCTTGAACATGACAATGAGTTCACTGTACTAAAATGGCCTCCACAGTCACCAGATCTCAACCCAATAGAGCATCTTTGGGATGTGGTGGAACGGGAGATTCGCATCATAGATGTGCAGCCGACAAATCTGCGGCAACTGTGTGATGCCATCATGTCAATATGGACCAAACTCCCTGAGGAATGCTTCCAGCACCTTGTTGAATCTATGCCACGAAGAATTGAGGCAGTTCTGAAGGCAAAAGGGGGTCCAACCCGTTACTAGCATGGGGTACCTAATAAAGTGGCCGGTGAGTGTACATCACAGAGACGTCTATTTGATGTGCATGTTTACATCTGGAAGATGTATTATTTAGAGTGTTTGCTCATCTGCAATACGTCTATAGGACGTTTCCTGTTAGATGTCAAATAGACGTTTAGAAGATGTCTTTAAGATGTAATGATTTAGAATGTATGTTAAACTGACATCTTAAAGATGTCTATCAGATGTTAGTAAACAGCAGATGCTTTCCAGATGAAGTGATCTTTAACAGACATCTTGCAGACGTACGTGTGCTATCTGGGTTAGGACATCGCACAAGATTTGTCTCGACACAGAAAACATTTCATCACTAGATAGATTTTTTTTTTTTTTTATTGAAAGTGTGGTTTATGTCATCTGAATGTGTGGAAAGCTTTTCGGAGAAGATAAGGCAACGTTATTTTAGCACAATTCACAACCAGCGGTAGTTAAAAAAAAAAAAAAAAAAAAAACTTCGGTCTTCCGACCTTTTACCATTGTGTATTCACAAAGATATTCAGTCAACTCAATTCATTAATATGAGCGAGGGAGGGAGAGAGAGCAAGACTTTCACTCTCTCTGCTCGTTCTCTGAGTTAAACAAGCGCAGGAGACGGAGTCAGTCATCTACATCACTCACCGGTCAAATAAGGCTTTGGTGGGACAAAAATATGCCTTAGTAAGGCTGACAGAAAACAGCGCGCAAGTTCCAGTCTTCTTGCTCTTGATGTTTAAACTGACAGGACTTGCGCTTGTAAAATGCCCTCGTGCAAAAACAAACATCCCCGCCCCCGCACTCACATCTACACGCACGTCAAATACACAGGAATGATTACGGGCCTGTTCACATCGGCCCTATTTTGACATCGGAACGATACCGATGTGTAAAAAAATTGACCATATCGGCCGATATATCGTGCACCACTATGTTTCAAACCACCTACACAATGGCGTTTTGGGGGCCTATAATGCAAACTTTTGAAAACAGGTTTCAAAGTGCAAGAAACCGATTCCGTTATTGTCAAAAATGCAAATTTGTGAAAACAGTGACATCATGTGCATGCGTATTATGGTCTTACTCTTTACAAATTGGCAACTACTGGCCTGGCAGCATAATACAGCGTTTTTAATCATTTTCGAGGATCTTTTTGACAATGTTGTAATCTGTACACGAAAAACAAAGGGACAACTTTTTAAGTCTTTAGCACATCGTTGTCGTGCAAACGTACCCTGAATGAAAATAAGAAATGTTTCCTTAGGAACTAGCTGATTTTTTTTTACATTTTATTTCAAGTAAGAAAAATGTTTTTATGGTTTTAGCTTTATTTAACTATAATAACTATAATTATCCTATTGAAGGAAGGTTTCATGCATATTTTCATACTGAACTCTGTGGCAACATAAAACCATTAGTGCCTGCAGTAAAATATAACATCAATATTCTTCATAAGACTTCAAAATAAGGGCATCAACATTTATGAACACTATTGCAGGTGGAAAAACATGCATTAACATGGTGTTTACAGTGCACTGTTAGGAATTGGTGTGAATGTGAGGCAGCAGTGTGTTTGTGCAGTGCTCAGGTCCAGCTTGGCAGCCGTTTTGACCCAGATTGCTGGAATATCCCATTTCCAGCAGACAGCCAGGCTGCGAGGGTGAACCGCTGGAATGCTTTTCAGACCACACGCCTACTTCACTCGTAACCCCGAAATGGACAGGCAGGACTCAACAATGCTGTGAACTTTTAGTAGAGATCAACTAATTAGGGTGTTAATGGCCAATGCTCATATAATATCTAGAGAGCTGAGTGACAATAAATGCAAAACATAATTAAAAACATCTCTATTTTAAATAATTGCTGTACTTTTGAACTTTCTATTAATAACACAAAAATATTAAGCAGCACAACTGTTTTCAACATTGATAACAGCAAATCAGCATATTAGATTGATTTCTGAAGGATCATGTTATGTGACAATGAAGACTGGAGTAATGATGCTGAAAATTCAGATTTGCATGCAGCCTTGGTGAGCATAAAATACTTTTTTCAAAAACACTTAAAGGGGTCATGAACTGGCTTTTAAATTGTTTTATATTGTTGTCTGAGGTCAACTTATGACGTTCGCTTGGTTTTTAAGTAATAGGCTATTTTCTACCCTAGTTATGAGCCTAGCTCAAAAACGCTCGGTTTTTATGGGCGTCTCGCATTGAAGACTTGGAAGTAAACGCCCACTGCTGTGAGTGGATAACAGTTTTGCATATTATAATGAGTTTCGTGTAATGCGCGAATCGGTGGGCGGGGCTAAACCAGCCGTGTTGAAGTAGGCGTCGATCTTCTTCTGCGGGGGTGGTGTTTTATCCTCTTTGTCGTCATCAGTGATGGGAATAACGGCGTTATAAATAACGCCGTTACTAACGGCATTACTTTTTCCAGTAACGAGTAATCTAATTGATTACTCTTCTCATCTTAATAACGCCGTTACCGTTACTGCCAAAAAATGCGGCGCGTTACTATAACTGATGAAGCTGTTTTTTTTCATCAGACCAACTAGATCTCCGAGCGAGAGGCAAATACTTTTTTTTACTGTTCTTCCTTAGTTAGTGGGCAGAGCACGAGACAAGCGCATACATGCTGACGATTGGCTGAGGTAGAGTAAAATGTAATTGTAAGCCAATCAGAGGTAGAGTTGGGCGGGTGTTCTAAAGCACACATAGTAGTGATGGGCATTCGGCTCTTTTGACTCAGCTCACTGAAAAGAGCCGGCTCTTTTGGCTCACAAACGGCTCTTTAAATGACTTTGACTATAATATTTCAATTTTTATTACATAATTATTTAATTTCTATAGGCTAAATTTGTAAGAGTCGGCTCTTCAGATATGCGAGCCAGCTACCGACGTTCACCTAAAAGAGTCGGCTCATTCGCGAATCGCGAACGAGTCGATCCATCATCACTAACGCTCATTCGCGAACGACCCATCATCACTAACAGCTAACGCTCATGAATTGCGAACGACCCATCATAACGCATAGTCGGACAGGACAGGACACACAACGAACAACACAAGCCAGTCAGTCAACGAGAGACAGGTATGCCGACGAGCCCAAATAATCCAAAAGTAGCCTTCTCTAAATGGTATATTGCTTATGTTAAGTTTTCATTTCCGTCCGTCATGTCCATGCACAATATGTTGCGATCATCCATCCACTAAAGAACAATCCAGATACAATTTCTCAGTGTTATTTATTTGTTAGTTTTCATCTCAATGCGCTGGCATAACATCAGTGCACGAGGGAGCAACAGCACGACATTCATCTCAAGGAAGGAACACAAGCTGAGTCAAAATAAAAGTCCCCATTTGTTCACACATGCGCACAATGAACTCTTGCACATTTTTAGTATACAACCGTCAATAGCATAAAGTAAAAACAAAATAACAGTAAGAAACATATAGTTAATGAGAACATATAACTCCACAGCTTAACAAGCTTAATTTAATTTTGCCCAGTTGTGGCCTGTTGAGGGGCAATAAATATCAAAAGTTCCAAAACATCTATTGTGTTATTTGCATTGATCCATATAAACATAATATCTACATACATGGCATTTGATTGGAGGCTAGTCTCACTTTGTCCACCGGCAACATTTTTTTTAGATGTGTGTACAATGTTTCATGTTTCTGTTAATAATGTATTGTATTAAGTGTCCATTTCATTATAAAATTCAGATTTATCATAAATAATTGAACATGCACATGTGTTTTAAGTTCCGTTAAATAGGGGTAGAGGTGGGGTCACATTTGAGCATTTAAAATGTAATTTTACTTGAAAGTAACGCAATAGTTACTTTCTTAAGTAACTAGTTACTTTTAAAATTTGTAACTGAGTAACTAATTTAGTTACTTTTTGGAAGAAGTAAGTAGTAACTGTAACTATTTACTTTTTAAAAGTAACTTGCCCAACACTGGTCGTCATAGTTCCCCACTTTGAAAAACGAGTCGTTTGCTGAGCCTGGTGTCAATTAAAGCTTTTATTAGACTAACAAGGACGTTTTCAGTTCTGAAACTTACAGGATATTCTTATAATTTGATGACCTCTTAGATGTCAAAAGCTCAAGGAAAATTTGATTTCTCAGTTCATCACCCCTTTAAAAAAGCTTACCGACCCCAAACTTTTGATCTGTTTATATACAGTATACTGTATAATATATACACATATATACTGCATATATACACAGTAACATGCATGAAAAATGAATTCTCATTTAGAAAGAAAATCCAACAAGTATTACATTTCCCAAAACCCAATTTCTCAAAACAACCTCTGGTCCAGCTCAAAGCATTGCATAACACAAACACATGACAGCTATTTTAAGCCCTGGCAACAAGACGAATCCAAAAGTGCATGTTTTTCAGTGCTTTGAGATTGTTTTGGATCAGTCTTGGATAGTTGCTGGTGAGATGCGTGTCAATTTATTTAAAAATTCAAATGTAACTTACTACTAGATACAAGCAGTGTCCTGTCATATACCTTTGACTGTGAAAGTACTTGTTCTGAACACATGTCAGTATCTGTAAATACCACTGATAACACAACACTTAGTTCTACACTATCCTAACTAGCCAAAACAACAGCAGATAAGCACATTCTCAGGGTAAGTATGGCTCTCTCCAGTGCTGGACTTTATAGGTACATTCCAAACATGTCAAGAGTCTGAATCCACACTCAATTCAAATCACCAGAAGCGATTCAAAACATTACTTGGAAAACTAAGTCCCATTTAAATGCATGAATATTAAGTGACACCCGCAAAACAAATAATTCGAAACCATTTCTCAGAAAATTCAGCAACGGGCTATTCTCGAGTTCACACTTACAAATAATGAGATGGAGTAAAACAGTATGCGTATTTGGCGTGCTGTCCGAGGAGAGGGCTCCGAGCTTGGTATTTTGGCCAGAACCCAGAGTACTCCCCCACCCCGTATCCCTAGCTGGGATAAGATTCAGCCAAGAGTGAGTCGTCGGGGTGGCGGATGGAGATCATAGGTGAGTCGGCTGCGTATAAATAGGCCTCCTCTCATGCTGATTGGATAGATCATTTGAATGTGTTACTCCCAAACTTTGTTAATAAAACATCATTTAAAAAATAGGCTAGAGTCAAGCTACTGATTTGAAAAAGTACTACTAACAAAAGTGTGTGTTTATTGCTGGATGTCTCTCTTATCTGACCCATCCATTTCTGGTCTTGAGACTTTATCTGACTTTCAATCCAATTCCGATGTTTGTGCAAATCCGATTGGAATCCGATCACATTTAGAAAGTGTGAACGAAAAAAAAAAAAAAGGCACATGAAACACAGGCAACATTCACATGTGGTTTGAAATCCTATTCAAATAGCATTTCTGGAAATCCGTTTCAGTCTGCTTGCTCTAAACTGATTTTGTGTGGTTTATGTCACTGTCTCATGCTCTCATAATTGATGAGCACACATACATAGAGCACATCAAATATGGTAATCGGACGCTCAAACGTGCTTGTTTGACACGCGAGAGCCAGTGAGGTTAGTGAGGTTGAATTTCCGTTTACCATATTTGGGACAGAAATCTCTCATTTGTGTTGTGAAGATGAATGAATGTCATGCAGGTTTGGATGAGTAAATGACAGAATTTTCATTTTTGGGTGAACTATCCCTTTAATACAAGCTAAAAGTCATTCACAGACCATCCAGGCATTTCCTATATTTGGCATATGAAGGGTTAAGTGATCCATGTGTGCTGCATGTGTCACCTGATCATCTTCACTGTCTGATGCCTCCATGCTCAAGGAACTCTGGGTCAAATCCACCGACTGCAATGATATAGACACATATTACAATCATTTCCTGTTTGAATGTTTGACATAAACCATGTTTTCCTTAATAAAATTACTTAGATATTTAATCAGTATCACAGCAATATGCTTGCCTGATATACAGTTTTACTGGTCTGATAGTCAGGCCTAAAATATTTAGGTTGCAGCTGATCAAACATTCCTCCCAACCACACTAGATTTTCTAAATGAAAGAGGAAAGAGGTTCAGGGTAAGGTGAGGACGGGGACTGTGTACATCTCTGAAAAGATTTCAGGTAGAGCGAGGGGAACGGCACGGCACCTAATCCTGTTACAGAACTCAGCAGGGAGCTTCCTGTCTTTTCAATCATGCCTCGTGATGTCTGAGGCTCTTACACGCTTTTCACAGAGCCAAAAATACCCACGCTCGCAGAACACGTTCATCACAGTGCGTCTCATTACTTGACTTTCTATGTGGTTCGATTCGGTGATGAAAGTAAACCCTGGTTATGAGAAAACAGCTTCAAAATCTGTGTGAAAAAAACCCTGGATGTTATAAATAACCAGTACTGGCAGCAAATAAATTGCTAAAAGTCCCCATAACATGCTCATTTACAAGTTCATAATTAGATTTTTGGGTTCTGCTAGAAAATATTCACGTGATTTGAAGTTTATAAACAAATTTTTCTAATACTGTACTTTTGTTGCAGCACCTCTTTTCTCCCTCTGCCTGAAACACTCCTGTTTCTTTAAAGCCCATTTTTTTCCGAAAAGCTCTGATTGGTCAGCTGGCCCAGTGTGTTGTGACTGGTCAACTGCTTAAAGCGTGTGTTGGAAATGTAATGTCCATAATCACGTTTCAGCTCCCGAGGCTTCATAAGCAGCTGTAAAAAGTATTATGTTAACTAAGGCGTCGCAATTGGAAGTCCATGCAATGTTCTGTCCTCGCAGTGAAAAAATAGCATCTCCTCCTCGACATCAATCACTCGTCCAACTGTTCTTTAAAGGCGGCTAAAGCAGCCAGAAGGTGACATTATGCAAATGTGTGACATCGCAAAGTCACGGAAATAATGGCAGGGCTACAAACGAGGCGTTTCAGGCGAGTGTTTTCTGTTGGAGAGATTCACTCTCTTTGGCGTGGACTTTGTGTTTTGTAACTTTGCAGATTTGTTACATCTACAAGCAGCAATGTTACACATTAAAGGAAAGGTACGATCAAAAGAAGCATAATAGGTGTGGTTTTCATCAAGAAATCAAAATTTCTTTTCATATGGAAAAGCTATTCAAACTATGCAAATATGCTTTCAAAGCTTACTCCCCAGTGGAAAAAAAGAACATGTATTGAAACTAGTCATTCAGGGGAAGCTAATAAAGAAGTAGGATAGATATTTTTATTTAAAGGCCCACTGAAGTGCCTTGGAACGCGCAGCTTTGTGTGATGCGTTGACATAATTTCCTCCGAAACAGGAAGCTGAGGCCCCTCCCCCTTTTCAAATAGCCAATAGCGTTTAGTTTACCTCACAGACTGCAAGTTGTACTTGACAGCACCATGGAAGCGAACCCGAGCGCTGATGATACGTTGGATTCAATAGTAGAGGTGTGAATAAATTCTAGCCATATCATTCTTAACCAACGTACAGTTGGAAAACAGAATAAAACTTGAGCGTTTGAGCAACCGAACACACAACTCCAACCCATATTTCTCCATGACGCGTCAACAGTCGCTTTGGCTAGGTGATATTTATAGCATAGGGAGTCGCGGGACGCTTTAAATTCTAGAGAGCATTTGATTGGACAGAAGATGTGATGAGAAGATGTGATGAGAAGCTGAAGTCCACGGTGGTGTCATAATAATCTGTGGAATTTCTGTGGAAAAATCTCACTTCCATTTTAGCGGAAGTGAGAGACTGTAAGTTGTGAATGCTTATATCTCCTAAATGCAAATTTTGTTATTGTTTTGGAAAACACCAGCTTATTCATAACCTTAAAGCTAAAAAACTTAAAGGGATAGTTCACTTTGAAATTAATTTTTGGTATGTTTTAGCTTACCTCAAGGCCATCCAAGATGTAGGTGTCTTTGTTTCCGCAGTAGTTTCAATTTTGATATTTTTAGGTCAAACCGTTCTTGTCTGTCAGTCATATAATGCAGGTCTATGGTAACTTCCTCAAAGAGCATGCACAGAGAAGACCAAATTAAACATGATTTAATGACTCATAAATGTAAGTACACATTGATGGCCTAAGACACGAAACTAGCGGTTTGTGTGAGAAAACGAACAGTACCGTATTTATATCGTTTTTACCTCTTGTAAACACAGCCACGTCCAAGTGATCTGAGGGCGCCGGCGCTTCGGTCTTTTCCGGAAAGCGCCAGAAGTGATCTCTCGCACGTGTACGTCACTCATACAATTGTTTTATTTTTTATTTTTTTTAATTGTTTTCTTTTACGACGGTTTAAACATCCCGGATAAGCGCAAATTAGTACCCTTTTAATTAGCCGTCTTACCTACAATCTCTGTTCTGTGTAAACAATGAGTGACGTACACGCGCGAGAGATCACTTCCGGCGCTTTCCGGAAAAGACCGAAGCGCCCGCGCCCTCAGATCACTTGGACGTAGGGATGTAACGATTCACTCGCAACCGGTTGAAAATCGATAAAAATGTGTGACGATTCAAGTCGGTTGAAATGTTAAACGAATCGCGATACACGTTTTAAACAGCAGGGCGCGTTTACTATAGCCTACTGTGAAGTTGTGAACCTCGCTTTACAATAGCACAATAGCAGCGAGCACACACTGGCGTGAAGCTAGCGAGTGTTTTCACTTCATTCATGGAACTTGATCTTGTGTGAGCCAAGCTCAACTTCCATAGGAATGAACTGAAAACGCTCGGTTTGCTCCGCTCGCGCCGCACCAGTGTGTGCCATAGACTGGTGTGCACGTGCCGTCAAACAGTAGACATGGCTTTGGCGACGGCAAGCGTAGATGTTGACGTTGACTCATTCAAATCAGAGGTGTGGCGGCATTTTGACTTTCCGTAGACTAATAATAATCACCACCGTGAGTAACACCAGTCACCTCCGTTTTCATGTAAAAGTCATTAATACTACAATTGCGAGAGCCACGGAGATCACAAGGTGCATCAGTGTTTCCGTGGCAACCAGGTGTTGTATTTATTTTACTATCTCTTTCTCTAAATGTGTTTTTTTTTTACTCTTACTAGTGTAATGATACAAATTATAACAAAATTAGAATCTTGCCTTTATTACAATGTAAAACCCCTGTCAATCTGGTACTACTAATTTTACACAGTCTTTTACATAGTGTGCGAAGGTACCAGTGTCCAGCCTCTTGACCAAACAGACAGAAAGACTGAGTTGAAACAACCTTGAAGGGAATTTTTTTAATGTAGTTTTATTATTTGACAAATATATTTTAAATTAAAAAGAAATGTGCAGCATTTTGTCTGAGAAATAATAAAAGGGACACTTTTGTCTTAAATCGCATTTGTTAAAAAAATCGTGAGAAAATCGTATCGTGAAACCAGTATCGTGAATCGTATCGCATCGTGAGATGAGTGAATCGTTACATCCCTACTTGGACGTGGCTGTGTTTACAAGAGGTAAAAACGATATAAATACGGTACTGTTCGTTTTCTCACACAAACCGCTAGTTTCGTGTCTTAGGCCATCAATGTGTACTTACATTTACGAGTCATTAAATCATGTTTAATTTGGACTTCTCTGTGCATGCTCTTTGAGGTGGTGACCATAGACCTGCATTATATGACTGACAGACAAGAACGGTTTGACCTAAAAATATCGAAATTGAAACTACTGCGGAAACAAAGACACCTACTTCTTGGATGCCCTTGAGGTAAGCTAAAACATACCAAAAATTTATTTCAAAGTGAACTATCCCTTTAAATTTGGATTTCAGGGGGCCTTTAAAAACACCAGTACAACTAATAATACGAGTAAAACGTGTAAAAGTCTGTCGAACCTGTAGTGCTGCTCTCTGCAGATCCTTCTGGGGGATCTCAACGTTAGAAACGAGTGACTGAAGTTTATTTTTAACAAGGTTTCTGATCATTTGTTTGTGTGACACATTTCAGCATTTTGTGCATTTCACAAATCGAAACTATATCAGTGCTACAGGAATGCATGAGTGTGAAAACGGTGCTGAGAGGAGTACCGTGTGAAGAGGTGTGGTCAGCACAGTGTGGAGGCTGGAATACTCCGGTGGGCTGCAGGGAAGACCATCGTCATCAGAAAAAGCCCCAGCGTCCTCTCCTTTCCTCCCGCAGAGGAGTGATGGAGGCGAGCCCAGACAAATCGCATGCTTCAGCTGCAGCTACAGACGGGACAGAACGTCAATAACTCTTCAAACAGATCAATCACACTATACTACTACATAGTAATTTAAGGGTAAGGTAAATGAATGTGTTGACATGAGACTGAGTATACACTACTGTTGAAAAGCTTGGGCTTGGTATGATTGTTTTTATAGAAATGAATACTGTCTTTCAGCAAGGATACATTAAATTGATCAAAAGAGACAGTAAAGACATTTATAATGTTACAAAAGATTTCTATATCAAATAAGAGCTGTTCTTTGGAACTTTCTATTCATCAAATTATCCTGAAAAAAAAAAATGTATCGGTTTACACAAAAATATGAATAAGCACGACTGTTGTCAACATTGATAATAATAACAAATGTTTCTTTGGTCATCAAATCAGCATATTAGAATGATTTCTGAAGGATCATGTGACACTTGCATCACATGAATAAATAACATTTTCAAATATTTTCAAATAGAAAACAGTTGTTTTAAATTGTAATAATATTTCACACTATAACTGTTTTTACTGTATTTTTGATCAAATAAATGCAGCCTTGGTGAGCATTAGAGACTTCTTTCAAAAACATTTAAAAATCTTACAGACCCCAAACCTTTAGAAAAGTAGTGTTTGATAACTTTTTTTTTGTCTGAACTGTCCTTTAATAAAATAAATAAAAATAAAATCATTTTAAATCAAGGCTAAAAGCCAGTGCATTCAAACACCACGGAGAAATTCATTCAGCCTAGTCTCAGCTATTCACAGATGATCTGCTTCTTTCAAACAGTGGGTGAAATGTTGATTCCTCTCTTAATGGACTGTTAACTTTCATTACTGAGGTACTTTCATGTCTGGCTCATGACAAAGTGCCTATCCGGAATGTCTACGGGTAATACGCTAACCGCATTGAGAAGGCTACGCTAAGTAGCATTTAATCAATGCCAAGACACAGACGAGACAAGCACATTTTTGTGGGCATCTGGTGACTATTTCAAGTGCTGATACATTATTGATGATGTAAATACACGTAAGGTTTACAGACTAATTGAACATCACCTACACATTTAAAAGCCATTTTGTAGCTCACATTGGTTTGGTCTTGTGTTTATCCTGTCTTTCAGTGACATTGACAATGATCCCTGCCGCCAAGATTGGGCTGGTGGCAAAATGTCAACAGTGAAAATCTCAGGCTCTGTGTCTTGAGGATCAGACTTGCTAATTTTATACCAAAGTCCAGTGAATTGCCATCACTAATACTCATTAAAGAAAGAGGACAGGAAAGTGAATATACTTATACACACCCTCTCTGAGCACACAAACAGCCTGAAAGTCACCATGAAGTCTAAACTGACAATTCTTATTTTTTTGTGAAATATTGCAGCATGTAGTAAAGATGACTTATCCCTGCACATCATGTGTCCTCTCAATCTTTAATCAAAATAACTTCCCCTCCCTCATGCAGCATCATCTCTTCTCTACTGGAGTGACGGCGATACAACCCGTCACTCAAATCAGATCAACCAATAGCAAACCACAGTCATCCAATCATCCAATCAATTCCACATTGACAAAATCAAGCCCCGCCCTACATTTGTTGTTGTTTGAGAAGTTGCTTCACTCAGATATACGTCACAATAGGGAAGAAAAGACTATCGCAACATCCATTTCATGCAGACTTTAATGGGTTTTTCCCCCCGTTTTTTTTAACTTCAAATTGTCTACTTTGAGGAAAAGTGAAATGGTGATGGAAAAAGTGCGAGATGAAGAAAAAAAAAACATGTCAATGCTTTTGTGTTCTTTCGCAAAGGTTTTGTGTTCCCCCAAGGAACTGCATTTGCTCAGAAAGAACTCAAAAGTTTTGCAAGCGAACACAAAGTTTCCCGGGGGATCACAAATTATTTGCGAGAGAACGCAAAAGCATTGATATAAAAGTTTTCCTCCCATCTAATTTTTTTTAATCACCATGTCACTTTAATGTTTAGGGTCTCCATTCCACAGTATTATGCATCTCGTGTTTAAAAAAAAAGCATCATTCCCTTACGCCTGCCACTCAGAAGTAAAAACAATGTTGTCAAATTGAACAGATTGTGAAACTAAAGAGTACACACACACACACACGTGTAAACCCACAAACCCTCATTAGATCGAATATACGATCAGACGATTAAAGGGGTCATGACATGAGGAATCAAATTGGCCTTTGTACCATTAAAACATCCAGCAAGTTTCAGAGCTTAGTCCTCTTCATTATAAACAAAGCATTTATTTAATCAAGCTCGAAAAAACGGTTTGTTTTGATGTTGCGGGATCTGTGATTTCACACGGGGAAATACATTTGCATATGACATCGACGAATAGATATACATCATCACACCATAGGCCACACTTGCCTACACTGAACGTGAGCGTCACGCCGCGTCAAAAGCAAATAAACTCCATTATAATCCCTTACGCTGTCTACACTGGATACAGTATACATATGCTCGCTCACTTTACTCCACGCGCTTGAGTCTGCCGACAAGAGAACCAACGGTAGAGTAAATAGAAGTGTAAAGGATGCTTTGACGCTTCCAGTTTGAACAGCTTATTTGCTCATTTCTTTATAGATTCAGAAGGATCCCAGCAACAGGTACAAGTGGATGGTTTATTTTTAATGGCGTCCCTAATCGCGTCGCAGGATTATATGTTTGTTCAGAGAAATTTGATTGTTTTGTAAACGAAAAAAAAAAAAAAATCCATGTCATGACCACTTTAAACCAATAATCGCGACATGCCTACAGTTCATAATTGAATAAATTATAACAGCCTCTGAATACCTGTAAAGATTTCACTTTCCCATGAATGCTGTCCTGGGACGCCCCCAGACCCTCATTAGTCTCTGATAAGGGCGAATCAGAAACGAAGACACTATCATGTGACATGGCTTTGTTTCCCAAGTTGATCTTGGATCTTTGAATGAAAGATAGTGATGTTTAAATGTCATATAGCATTGGTAATGTTTAATACTGTATATAGCATGTGATGAAAACAGATAGTAATAGAAATATTAGAAATGAAGTCTAGTAATAACTTTATTCCCTCACCCCCGGTCATTGTCACTGTTAGCGTGGCTGATAGTTGGCTCGGAGGTGTTGACATCATCACTCGACTGACTGGCCTTCAAGCCACTCTCGCCCGATGGAGCAGGACTTTCCTTCCTCTTTTTCTTCACAAAAAAATTCTTGAACGTCTGGAATTTGGACTTCTTTTTCCCTGGAGTGAAAACAAAACAGAAACATATTTAAATGAGTACCACTAAAAGAGAATCTTGGCTTTTGTGAGAGGCTTGCATACAGCAAACACTGAACACATGCTGTCAATTAGTCAATGTTCACTTATCTAAACAAAATAAGTTCAACTGGCAGACAATCATGTTTACTGGCCCCCAATTCTTGGAAATTATATATACAGCATGTTTAAACAATCACCTTGTAATTTATGACACAAATACCACTTGTAACGGGGTCAAGCAAGTAAAGTGAGGAGTCCTACTGACCCTGGTAAAGTACATCTGACACTGACAGCACCCTTAAATGGTTCAAATCATCCATTAAAATGTGTTTATATGATACCTATTTAACAAACTTTCATTGTAGACTTCTAAATATTCTCTCTTGGGTGCTTATATAATACTAATGTATCTTCAGATTGCCAATAAAGTCCTAATTGCATTATTGAAATAATTTTACACAACAATACTGTCTAGCACACAACTGATCTCCTGTAGTTTAACATTTAGGGCCAGGTTTACTAAACAGGGCAAATTAGCGTGAGAGCGCAATCCCATAAAAGCGCCGATGGGAGTGGAAAGTTAAACACTGACGCAGCCGGATCATTTCCATAATGACCAACGCAATCTAATCAGCGTGAATTAGCGTCTGGTTTAAGACATGCTTTTTTGGGGCATTAAATAAATGGCACAAATACCAGTAAATTGACGAGCGCAAACCTTAGTATGATTACCTTGCTTGATTCATTTAAATATTCTAAATAACAAAAATAACACTGTCCACAACTTTTCAGCGCTAATTCTTCACTGCGTGTCTTTAGTAAATCCTGACGGTAGTTTTTAACGCCAAAAGAGGGTTTGCGCTGGCGAAAGCTGTCAGTAAATCTGGCCCTTAGTGTTAAATCATGTGATTTCTGAGTTATTCAATGATGCAGTTGAGTTTAATACAAAAACATTCTTGTTTTTATCATAGATATCTATACGTAGATAATTCATGTTCCAGTCAAGTCAACATAATAATAAATTAAACCCTGTGAAAATGAGCTGCCAGTGTGTATTGCAGATATAGATGTTACATGATGCTACAGACTTTCCTGCAGCTCAAACAGTAGAGCGTTGGCGCTTGTAACACCAATGTCATGGGTCTGATTCCCAGGGAAAGCAAGAATTGATAAGAAATGTAAATGTGTACCTTGAAATGCAATGCAAGTCGCTTTGGATAAAAGTGTCTGCCAAATGCATGAATGTAAATGTAACGTGGTGTGAATAACTACACTGCAAAATGAATTTCTTACTTAGTATGTTTGTCTTGTTTTTCAGTACAAATATCTAAACATGCTTAGATACATTTACTTGAGAAGCAAAATGAATTTTTGTTTTCTGAAGAAAATAATAAATGATCAAAATAAAATATTTGTCAGTGGGGTCAGAGAATTAATCTTGTTTTCCCTTTGAGTTCAGTTTTATTTATTTTTCTGACCCCATTGGCAGATTGTCTTGTTTTAAGTGTAAACCGACTTCATTTTGATAAAATTTTCTCCGAAAACAAGACTTAATATCATCGTTTTGCATCTCAAGTAAATGTATCTTGACTTAAGAATGTTTATATATTTGTACTGGAAGGTTTTCAGTGTAGGTTGCAGTAAACTTGCGCTCGAGTGTTTACAATCTGGCTTTGACCATTCCAACACGCTGCTTAGCTTATGTACAGCAGTCCATAGGAACAGCTGCTAATTCACTGGCTTCGTCCAAAAGCTTAAAAATGCTGCCTTCAGAGGATGCATGCCAAGGTAGGAAGGCATCAAGACATGTCCGAAAACAATGTTATCATCACTTCCTGTCTCCTGGGATACCTTCATCTGGCTGATTTTTGAAGGCAGCATAGATGTATCCTTCGCTGCCATTGATATCCCACAATCATGTGCTTTCCATTCTGTGACAGTTGAGCTAAATATGGCGTCTGAAAGTTGCGGTTGGTGGTCAGTTTGAAATGTACATTTTGACTAACTTTTTCCACTTTTTATGTCATTTCTACAGAGAAATTACTATTAAAGTAATTAAATATTTTCTTAGTTAACGCTAAATACAGGTGTAAACGGGGTCTAAAACGTTTTGAGCTCGTCCACTTTCAACCACTTCCAGAGGTAGTCGCAGACGCATTTAACATGGCTTTCATAGTGTAAACGCTCATGTGGTCGAATGAGTTCAAACAGCCACAAAAGACCCTCTGCTCTCCGCCTACTGACCTAATGCATAAAAATTATGGGAAGCGCTCTAGCCAGATGGGATTTAAACTTTGTCAGCTGAAGACCCAAGTTTGGTTTGAAGATGAAAAAAGTACCAAGCACAATGTTCTCACCATTCCTGATTTCTAACACACACTCACAGCGTTCGGGGGGTCTTGTGGCTGTCAGAGCAGAAACAAAAGCTTCTCCTCTCTGTATGTTTTCCTGTTGTCTTTGGCTGTGTTCATATGTAAATTGCGCAAGCTTATTTCATCCATTAGATCGAAAGATCTGAAAAAGCCCATACATTTACCCACCCATAGACCTTCAGGACAGAAGTGGTTGAAAGTGGACAAAAGAGACAGATTAAAACACCAGGTGTAAACGGAAATTTGTCTCCATCTACTAGCGATCCGATCGACTAAAACTCATTTTAATACAGGGCATTGGAAGCGTGAACTGAAATCAATTTTATGAGGTTCCTTGGTGCGCAAACACTGCATGCAAAGTCATTGCCATTAGGCAGCAAGGCAACAAGTCAGCAGCCTAAGCTTTCGGACGCAGCCACAATCTAGCTGCTATTTTAACCATTAGATCACAAACTAATTTTATTCATCCAAAAGGTTAAGACCCAGAAAGGCTTATAAAAGCCAAAACAAACATTGAAAGGTCATTCTCATTCAAGTGAAAAAGCCAGTACTTTTTAAAAGAAAAGTACAGTGAACAATACTGGGATGGCAACCTTTATTAGTGAGTCATTCTTTCTACTGAGAACAAACAATTCTCAGTGCTGGCTTGCTTGCTGTTGTGGGGGGATATTTAAAAATAACTCAAGAAAATCCTCATTCCTAATCAGCCATTGACTCCAATAACAGCTGATTCAAATAGAATTTGGCTAATAAAATGATAGTCTCACATGCAGTAGCACAAAAAAACAATAAAAAAAATGGGTAAAATAGTCTAATTTAATTCGATGTTTATTTCCGCCATATTTATTTTCTTTTTCTTCAATTGCCTTCTTTATGAAGGATACATGAGATTTGGCCAAAATAAGGTATTTTAGACATGTTGCTGCCTACCTTTTGGAACTGTCATGACATTTGCAGGTGATCCCTTAAAAACTAGGTTTCGCTAGGTTTTGCAACAGCATTCACTCAACTCAACTCAACTCAACTCAACTCAACTCAACTCAACTCAACTCAACTCAACTCAACTCAACTCAACTCAACTCAACTCCTTTGAGGACTAGTCTAGATTATGACTTAAGGCTTTGTGTATTGGTGTTCTCTTTCTGCCTGACATCCTGTCTCTCTCTCTCTCGTCTCGGGGAGATTCACACGATACAGCTCTACTGGCAAAGCCTACAGTCTCCAGCTGTGGCCCATCTAAAGGCAGTAAACAACACACAGAGAAAGAGATCTCACAGTCTCTTATAAACCACTCAATGCTCGGTTATTTGATTACACAAGGGATGCTAAATATTCCCTTCTAAGAACAGAGCCACAGTATGTCTAAGTGCATAAGGGAAAAAAAGTGCATTGTTTGCGGCGTGGCTTTATTTCAGGGATGTACAATACAATTGTTTATGCTAGTACATCACAGCAAAGATAATTATAAATCAACTTTATCTTTCTCAAAATAACGGTACATTTAATAATATTCCGATTAGTATCAAATTCAAAATTAACTTTTAATAAACTAGACCTTTCTTTTTCACAGGATCTGCACTGCATCTATTTGACTAGGTTCGGTCGTGAACGAGTGAATCTTTTAAGTGAACCAAACAGTTCCGTTCACTACAATGACTCATATTTTCCATTCAAGTCTCTCCCTTGTAGCAGAGAGATGTGATTGCTTTTTCTACCTTCAAAGATTGACTACAGCGTAAGCAAACAGCCATATAGTGTTGATTTTAAAGGAGGATATTATTGATTAGAATAGATGAACCTACTGAACATATTTATGAGTTTGTGAAAGTGAAAAAAAAATACTACAGCAATTGTTACTGAATGAAAAAAACCAAAAACAAATCTGAATGAGCTTTTTTTGGTGAATTAATTCAGATACCTTGAATCACTTGCAAGAATAAATGTTCCAACAATTTGCATGTGACTTTGGATGAGCAATTAAAAATATACTCATAAAGTGAAATATAATAACTGAAAGGTGAAATAATGTAGCCTACAAGATGTAGTTATTGAATTAATCAAAGAATGAATCTGAATTAGCCTTTTTGGTGAACTGATTCAGAAGATTTGAATCTGAATTAATCGGAATGATCTTTTTTGGTGAACTGATTCAGAAGATTTGAGACTGTAGTAAAATCTAGCCTGTATTAATGTAGCCTACAGGAAGGGTTATTGAATGAATCAAATAATTAATCTGAATGAGCTTTTTTTGGTGGACAATCTAGCCTCTATTTTTGGATCAGCAATTATAAAAATACTTTTAACGTGTATAATAAAGAAGCCTACATGAATAGTTATTGAACAAATAAAAGAGTGAATCTGAATGATCTTTTCAAAAGAAAAAGATTCAGATGACACTAAAAATTTAAAATTAGTTGCATTCATATGACTATATTTAGATCCTTTCACTCACGTCATGTGTAAGGCAACGGCCATGAGTCTAATTAATGTGACCCTGGTCATGAATCAATTACCAGTATCCTGTGATAAATCTGTACAAGATTAACACCTCCCATACACACTAGACATTGACTAACTCTTGAACTTAATGTACTTAGAGAGACCCACAATCCGATAGAGGAGATTATGGATGCTTTGCAAGCGCCCGATTTTGCAAGGAAATGGCTAATCCACATCCCCACATAGGCCCGCTGTCTGTACTGCAGGATCTGACTCTAGCAGTCTGAGCTTCCTCCTTCCCACACTAAACTGGAGAGAAAGGTCAAATGTCGGACAGCGGAAAGCATGCTCGCATCGGAGAGGCAAATGTTGGCTTTGTCTGTGTGCTACATGGCTTCCTGTCAGTGAGAACTAGCATCTTGTATCACTTCATTGAGTAGAGTGTCTCAATTCTTCATGTATGATCTCTACGTGAGGAAAAATGTATGACATTCTCTTTGTTCTCATGGATGATAATGCACTGACCGGGACTTGAACATTACCTGAACACTCTTCTCCTGCATCTGATGGTTCAGTAGCATCTGTGACGTCTGGAGATCCCGAGGCCATGATGTCACAATTGCTGTTGAGGAAAAAAAAAAAGGTTTGTCAGATAAATGGTTGGACACTACTACTGAGGTGCAGCTGAATGTGAGGTTTGTGACCTAGAATGGAACCATAAATCTAAATCTCATAACCTACTCTCTAAAAATGTTGGGTTGTTTCAACACATTCAGGTCAAATATGGACAAATCCAACCGCTTCAATTAAAAAACTGAATCCAACGGTTGGGTTTGTCCATATTTTACCCAAACGCAGGTTGAAACAACCCAGCATTTTTCAGAGTGTACACACATAAGGAGGACAGTTCATTAAAAATAAAAAAAATATCAGCCATTATTTATTCAATTTCATGAAGTTTCAAACCAATATGACCTTCTTTCTTTTGCCAGAGTTTTGTGTGAAGGCGAAAATGTTCCTTACGCAGATTCCGCTCATGCTAAGGATAGTCATGCAAATTTTCTGCAAATTTTAAGAAAGATGACTTTTGAAAGTGACTTCTGTGTAAGCTGTGCTTTATACATTGCTAAGCTATAGATGATGAATGAACAATTTTTTTGCCCCTAAAATTTTGCCCAAATTTAGCTAATGTTACCACACCTTAACTAAGAAATTTTGCAGAATTCCTGGGCTGCTCTCTTCCATTTGACAAAAATACACTGTTGAACTGAATACACATATTTGCGTGGGAAAGAAACCAAAACACAGTATTTAAAAAAAACTAAAAAAACTAAAATGTAAAACTTTTATGGTGATTTCAACAACATCAGTCCCCATTTCCTTATTTTTGCCTGGACGATCAATGTTTTACACCATAACTTCATATCAATGCACTAAACATGTTATATCAGCCATTATATATATATAATGATTAATTGCTTGAACTACTATAATATATATAAAATATATAGTATTATATAGTATAGTATAATATATTATATTATATTATGTAGTATAATAATATAATAGTATTATAATATATATATATATATATATAAAAATATATATAAATAAATAATACTATTATACACAATAATAATATATTTCAATTATTTTTCTTTGATTTGTTCATTGCAAGCAAATGAAAGTCTATACATTTTTCCAAAAAACCTGATTTGCAATGGGGGTTAAATAATTTCGATTATACATATGCACGCCAAACCCAAGACAATTACTGAACTGGAGGCCATTGCTCATGAAGAATGGGCTAAGATTCCTCAGAAACACTGGTGAGGAAAAAGCCGGTGTCTGGTTATACATCTCGTTTGCAGCAGGTCATAACAGCAAAAGGCTATTCTACTAAGTACTAAAGATGCTTGCCAAGTTGCCATGAAGGGATTGGATAATTCTGAGACTGCAGAAAACTGTTGAGCTATTTTTTTTACTTTTGTTTGATTTGTTCAATACAAACATCAGGTTTATTGTCAAAATGTACAGACTTTCAGCTATGCAATGGGGGTTGAATAACTGTATATATATATATATATATATATATATATATATATATATATATATATATATATATATATATATAAAGTAATTCAAGTAATTAATCATTAGAGAAAATGGAGACTGTTTAGGTCGGTCTTTATTTGTTTGTCTATATTGTCCTTCATAAGAGTGTGTCTACTACACCCAAGGACGCACAGGAGGCGTTGGTGATAAGACTTATTTAACGCTGACTCATTTAGATTACAACACTGGACCCGAGTCACTCCAGTGGATCCACCATATCTGCAGTACCAGACTTGCTGATACCAGCAGCAGCCCAAAACAGACTCCAGACCAGCTGAGGCCTCAGTGTTTGTCCTGACGAGTGACTACAGCCTAATCCTGGATCAGACTCTCCTCTGGAACACCTCCAGCTCTCAAGGAGGAAACTCTCAAACAGTATCTATGACAGACGGCTTAACTTCCAGGCTGGAGGAATGGCCCAACAGGATGTGAAGGCAATTTGCAGTCTAGTTTGACATGCATCAGTTTGACAAGGATTATTCCAGTTTAATTAGGGCAGGATATATGATTGCTTGACTGGTTCTCTAGCAACTATTACAATGACCTACAGTATGTAAAGCCATTTTCAAAGCCTTTCATTTTAATAGTGCCTATACACTCACCTAAAGGATTGACGCACCATACTAATACTGTGTTTGACCCCCTTTCGCCTTCAGAACTGCCTTAATTCTACGTGGCATTGATTCAACAAGGTGCTGAAAGCATTCTTTAGAAATGTTGGCCCATATTGATAGGATAGCATCTTGCAGTTGATGGAGATTTGTGGGATGCACATCCAGGGCACGAAGCTCCCGTTCCACCACATCCCAAAGATGCTCTATTGGGTTGAGATCTGGTGACTGTGGGGGCCATTTTAGTACAGTGAACTCATTGTCATGTTCAAGAAACCAATTTGAAATGATTCGAGCTTTGTGACATAGTGCATTATCCTGCTGGAAGTAGCCATCAGAGGATGGGTACATGGTGGCCATAAAGGGATGGACATGGTCAGAAACAATGCTGAGGTAGGCCGTGGCATTTAACCGATGCCCAATTGGCACTAAGGGCCCTAAAGTGTGCCAAGAAAACATCCCCCACACCATTACACCACCACCACCAGCCTGCACAGTGGTAACAAGGGATGATGGATCCATGTTCTCATTCTGTTTACGCCAAATTCTGACTCTACCATCTGAATGTCTCAACATAAATCGAGACTCAGACCAGGCAACATTTTTTCCAGTCTTCAACTGTCCAATTTTGGTGAGCTCTTGCAAATTGTAGCCTCTTTTTCCTATTTGTAGTGGAGATGAGTGGTACCCGGTGGGGTCTTCTGCTGTTGTAGCCCATCCGCCTCAAGGTTGTGCGTGTTGTGGCTTCACAAATGCTTTGCTGCATACCTCGGGTGTAATGAGTGGTTATTTCAGTCAAAGTTGCTCTTCTATCAGCTTGAATCAGTCGGCCCATTCTCCTCTGACCTCTAGCATCAACAAGGCATTTTCGCCCACAGGACTGCCGCATACTGGATGTTTTTCCCTTTTCACACCATTCTTTGTAAACCCTAGAAATGGTTGTGCGTGAAAATCCCAGTAACTGAGCAGATTGTGAAATACTCAGACCAACAACCATGCCACGCTCAAAATTGCTTAAATCACCTTTCTTTCACATTCTGACATTCAGTTTGGAGTTCAGGAGATTGTCTTGACCAGGACCACACCCCTAAATGCATTGAAGCAACTGCCATGTGATTGGTTGATTAGATAATTGCATTAATGAGAAAATGAACAGGTGTTCCTAATAATCCTTTAGGTGAGTGTAGACCTTATAAGCCAGAGAAACAAGCAAGCATCTTTAGAAATTTGTGTTTGAACTTTGGTTTATGTAGTAGCTCTCGACATTTCTATGGCATCGCTGTCGAAAAGTTATTAGCTGGTGAAGTAAATGTACTTATTGTAAAGCTAATGAAAGGTCTATACAAAGCATTAGTTTTATATTTTGCATGCCACATAGTTTCAGTTCAATTAAGAGACATGCTATGTTTTAATCTATCTTGTGTAAGTATCTTTAACCATCCTCCTTTTCATCCATACACTCACATAACCTAAAACATCTGGCATTCTGTCATCACTCCCACCCTCTCTTGTACCACTTCCTGTACTGATCCCACCATCCACTTCCTGTGATGTTAGGTTCAAGGGGTTTCTGCTACATTCTTTCATCAACGTAACAAAAGAGAAAAAATGACAATTATTTTCAACTCAAAACTGCAGGGTTTTGTGCAAGGCGTCTGTTGAGTTCATGACTGTGTGTTGTGATGTGATACTCTTCATATCAGACCTTCAAATGTGTTATCTTTTAAATTTAAGCAACAAGTCATGTGACAGTCACAGCTAAATATAATTGTGTACCATATTCTCAGCTAAACTTTCTGTTAGGCTTCACATTTTTACCATTAAACAGAAGTAGTAGAAAGTGACAGGAAATTATTAGGAAGATATCAACTAATTCAAATAAACTATTTTGGGATCATCAGCAGCATCTTTCTGTTTCAAGATCTTTTTTGTTAATTGTGAGAAAATATTGTGTAAAAAAAGTTTATTTAATATGCACACTTTTCAGGGTTCCTTCACATTTTCCATTTCAAAATTTCCATATTTTACAGACTCAAATTTCCAAACCTCTCTGTAGATTTTTCAGAACAATACATAAATGGTTCATACAGCATTGTTTTTAGCATTATATATAGTAGTCATCTATTTTCCCAGTTTTCCAGGTTTTTTTTATTGGTTTTCTCTAAGTGATAACATGCTTACATGATGAGAAGAAACCTAAAAAGTGCGTAACCTGCATATATTCACCTCTGACACACACGGTCTGTTACTGTAACTGTGGTTTGATGTTGCATTAAGATCACCAAACAGCAAAGTAAAGTCTGATTGTTTAAATTACTCGATTTAAATTCCATACTTTTCGAAAATGTGTAGGAACCCTGAATTTTGTGCACCTCTCATCTGCCTATAAAAATGATAATTTGCATGTTTTGAAGATCATTTAAAAAAAATGTACATTGTACTACAGACACATGTACAGAAGACAATCAGAAATAACTATTCAAAGGGAACAATGTACTAAAGTACATCCACAAGAGCAAAATTAGAAAAACCCAAGTCATCAGTGAGTTCCATCTGGCTAACACCTTCAACATGTCTGCCAAACACTGCATAACAAAGACACAGCAGCTGAGCCAAATATCATTCATATTCACATTCATATTCAACAGCAATACAATTTTTTTACAATTCAAGCACAATCAACATGCTCTTGGTAATTTTTCTCCTGTTTAGTGACCAAACCCCTAGCCCTTAATAGTATTATTGAGAGAGACTCGTCCTGAACTAAAGACATGACACTTTTAATACCTTGAATCAGGGCAATCGATATTGACCGGCGGCAGCCTATGACGTCACTTGAATACCTTGACATTAACTTTTTTGCTCCCCAGCCACTGTGGCTAGTGGTTTTCCAAAG